GCAGCAGGTTGTGTATGTTTTGACACATGCAGAACACAAAAGCTATGCTTTTGTATAGCACTGGGGGAGGGAAATTTTTGTAAACAGACGTTTTTTAGAGCAGCTTACTGTAGCACTGTTAAAATGAGTAATAATCATGAGTTATACTACATGCTCTGTGGGTTGCTTTTCTTCAGGAGAATATTTTTGTCTCTTGGCATGTATGATGTGGAGAGATGATCTCTTAAATAAAGGAAAATTTGCATACAAAATAAGATGGAGATGGTATAAGTGAGCACTGCTGAAAACAACATCACATGAAGTGATAACAACCTTAACTACAGCATAAGTATCTTCTGCTCTGAAAAAAAGTCCCACTTATCTGCAGTACTATTCAGATGCTAGGCAGCAATCAAGTGATATCCAATACAATACCTTTATAATTCTGCAAGAGATTGTCCGAGTTTGGATTTAGGCTCAGGAACTTACTGAATTAAGAATGCTTGGTTCAAACAAGTTATCTTGTGGTATGATGATGCTCCAATCAGTTTTCTGCTGCCCCTGCTTAGCACAGTACCTCTTGAAAATAAACTGTTAGGTTTTGTAGTCATAGCTGCTCAGTTCACCACCACGTTTTCGTATTTGCTTAGGTCAAACAGTGTTAATGACAGCATCTTTCTTAATGACAATGACAAAGGGAGTTGAAGAACCCTGAATGTGACTGAATCCTGATTCCCAGAGATTCAGCAGAGTAAAACTTATCTGCAGCAGCGTAGATGACCTAATGTCTGGAAGCCCCTTTTAAAAAGTATTTGTATAAATTCTGGTGGAAAAATCTGTCATTTCATGTTAGATTTCCATTAGTTTGATAGAGAGAAATAATTGCTATTGGTATTATTTCTGAACCATAATCAGGCTTTGGAGGACAGAAAAGAAATTACAACAGTACACTAGGAGTGACCAGCAAGGTGCTTGGTGACAGCCAGCATGGTTTCACTAAGGGGAAATCCTGCCTGACCAATATGATGGCCTTCTATGATGGGGCTACAGTACTGATGGACAGGGGTAGAGCAGCTGACATCACCTACCTGGATTTGTGCAAAGCGTTCGACACTGTCCCACACGACATCCTTGTCTCTAAATTGGAGAGACATCAATTTGATGGATGGACCACTCAGTGGGGTAAAGAACTGGCTAGATGGTCGCACACAAACAGTTGTGGTCAACGGCTCAATGTCTGGCTGGAGACCAGTAATGAGTGGTATCCCTCAGGGATCAGTGTTGGGACTGGTCTTGTTCAACATCTTTGTCGCTGACATGGACAGTGGAATTGAGTGTGCCCTCAGCAGGTTTGTCGATGACACCAAGCTGTGTGGTTCTGTTGATACGCTGGAGGGAAGGAATGCCATCCAGAGGGACCTCGACATGCTTGTGAGGTGGGCTGATGCCAACCTTATGAAGTTTAACCATGCCAAGTGCAAGGTCCTACACCTGGGTGGGAGCAATCCCAGGCACAGCTACAGGTTGGGTAGAGAAGAGATTCAGAGCAGCCCTTCAGAGAAGGACTTGGGGGTGTTGGTCGATGGGAAACTTAATATGAGCCAGCTTCAGTGTGCGCTCACAGCCCAGAAAGCCAACTGTATCCTGGGCTGCATCAAAAGGAGCATGACCAGCAGGCCAAACAAGGTGATCTTGCCCCTCTACTCTGCTTTCGGGGGACCTCACCTGGAGTACTGTGTACAGTTCTGGTGTCCTCAACATAAAAAGGACATGGAACTGTTGGAACAAGTCCACGAGGATGATCAGAGGACTGGAGCACCTCCCATATGAAGATAGGCTGAGAAAGTTGGGGCTGTTCAGCCTGGAGAAGAGAAGGCTGTGTGGAGACCTCATAGCAGCCTTCCAGTATCTGAAGGGGGCCTGTAAAGGTGGTGGGGAGGGACTCTTCATTAGGGACTGTAGTGACAGGTCAAGGGGTAATGGGTTAAAACAGGGGAAGTTTAGATTGGATATAAGGAGGAAATTCTTTACTGTGAGGGTGCTGAGCCACTGGAATAGGTTGCCCAAGGAAGTTGTGAATGCTCCATCCCTCGCAGTGTTTAAGGCCAGGTTGAAGAGAGCCTTGGGTGACATGGTTTAGTGTGAGGTGTCCCTGCCCATGGCAGGGGGGTTTGAACTAGATGATCTTAAGGTGCTTTCCAACCATAACTATTCTATGATTCCGAGGTGATTTATGGCTGAGAAAAGGATGATCATTCTAGATTTGCCTGATGTAATACCCAACCTGTTGCTTTTCTGTTTGTTGTATTCCTGCTACAGTGGGTTATTTTTTTGAGATTTTTATTTTGCAGTATGCTGCTAATTACTGTGTAATCTGCATGGAGATGCTGTAAAGAGATTTGAAAGTACAATTCTGTCCACTGTTACGTGTTGATGATTGAGTGGATTGCTTTTCAGCTATGGTACCCTGTGATACTTCCCTGAGATTTGTGTACTTAAACAGAAGAAAACCTAAATGAGATCTGTGGAAGAGGACTACCAAACTGAATTTAGTTTTAGTTCTCTGGGATCTTCCTGATATGTGGCTGATGACACATATAAAGGTTTATGTAGCCCAAGACTTTCACAAAGACATTCAAGGCCAGTTGCTGGTCCACGTGCTGCTTCTATTGCAGTCATAGCTGAGGAAAACTGCTTACTAGCTATTGAAATACAGGCTTCCAGAGTGCAATGAGTTGGAGCTGACCTTGGAAACTTGTTGGTTTTCCTTAGCTGTTAAAAATTGGGCATGATATTAGCCATCCAGCCATTCCAAATTAATTCTGCTTGTGGTCAGCTGTTGTTTACGCTTACCCGTGTTGCTGTTAGAGACATGATTTGCAATGAAAATGTGGAGTCAAGATTTAGTATAGTCATGCACTACAGCCTTGAAGCAGCTGAAGATGTTAGTGACCAAGTACTATCCTTAAAAAGGTAAGATGCAGTCCTTAAGATAGTCGCATGGATCGTTTTTGCTAACGAAGCACAGGTGATTAGGGATACCTGCTTCCTTACTCAACTGCATAAACACTTTGTAGTTGTGAATTCGTTGTATGCAGGGCTCTTGCTTGGCTGTTGGCAATTCTCGTAAGACCCATTTGAAAGATACTAGGGTGCTTTTTGAACTCCACACTTCATATGGAATCACATGGGGCTACATGAAGCTTGAACTCTTGTTTTTTTTCATTACAATCCAGATGATTTTGTTGTGATTAAGTGGAAGTTTGGCAAATTAAGGCTTTTTGTAAGGAGTGCCATTTGTTTCCCATATATGTGAGCCTTCATCTCTAGTAGATCTTACATATATTTGAATCAAATTTTATTCTTAGGTTTACCTGTATTGTTAAAGCAGAGAGGGCATTTGAAAGCTATTGGAAACATCTATTTCAAAACCAGATAAAACTCTGGATAAGAGATGCTTTTTCTGTTTCCCAGTTTAAGATTCTGTCATCTGTGCTAGAAGTGTACTGTTTTTGAATAGGAGTAATTTGGAGTCATCAACTTAACCAGTAATTAAAGCTGTTCTTCCAGCTATATGTTTGCGGATGCTGTGTCAGAGGAAAGGAAATACTCTGTAATCTTCACTAGAGTCTGTAACAGAATGTGTAAAAATAACTATTGGAATGTGTCAGTAGAGAAACATTGCTGTTTGTGATCTCTCTCCATTGCTGCATATTGTATCATGGGCTGCTTGCAGACCATGATGTATTGTGAAGAAGACACTGGGGAAGATGGAGTCTGTGCTCTAATATAAATACTGATAAAATTGCGGGTTTAGAGCATACATGATATAGATATCATTTCAATCTCCAGATACATTCATAGTTTTCTTGAGCTTTTGCCAAAAAAATCTCATAGCATCTTGCCCTTAAATGTTCTGCTAAATCCAGAACCTTTCTATCTGTAGAGGATACAGCAAAGAATGTAATAGTATTTGGTTTTAAGAGACTTATTCTTGAAAAAATAGGAAGTTTTGAGTTTGGTGTGTTTTTTTTGGTTTCTGGGGGTTTGTGGGTTTTGTTTTGTTTTTTTTCCTTTCCCCCTGATTATGTTAACTTTAAATGTACATAATATAAGCCTTTCCTTATATTCTGTTGACCTACTCTTTTTAAAACCAGTTATTTGTAGTGCATTCTCTCTCCTTAGTTCCAGTCATAGCATTTGCAAATTTCTGTGTGATATAAGGAAAATTTGACTTAAGTGAACAGTAAAAAATGGTAGTCTTTTGTATCGTTTTGGAACTTGGAGGCAAAAGAGTCTTGGGAGTTGCCTTGAAGAAGCAACTTATGGAAGGTGCTTTGTGAGAAAAAGGAAGAGAGGGAAGACATTGATGGAAATAAAAGTACACTGTGCAAGAAGTAGGTGTTATTCATTGCCTCATCAGAAATGCAGAAGATAGAAAAAATTTGTCTACAGTTATCACGTAAAGAGATTTGAAAAGACTAACAATGTTTAGTAGATGAAATAATAGTAAAATGTGTTCTCACTAGTAAATACTTCAGCGATACTTGTTAATTCTCCTTACTGTATAAAACCAACATACGTATTGTTCAGTCTCAAGCTTTGCATTTAGTAGTAGTTATATAAGCAGTAAGTAGGGATCCATACTGTGTAGAAAAGAAATTTTTGTAAAGCTTTGAAGTAACTCAATCAAATATCCTTCCAGCACCAGCTGCTAAATTAGAGGAAGAGGAACTTAGGGGAAAAAGTGGCAAAATGCATTCCAAGTACAGCAGCTTCCTCTAAAGTATTAGCTACTCAAGTCACACTAATGAAGCTGTGCTGTCAGCAGGGTGCAAGGCCTTAAAAAAGTGAGTAGTAACAGCATTCTGAATTACTGTATACAGGCCATGTATAGGATATAGAGGGTAGTCATCTAAATAACCTCAGCCTGAGACAGGAGCTTAATCACCATAGTATCGTCACAGTTTCTGTAACCTGTTTTTAATGTATACTCTACTTTTTTTGTGTGTGTGCTTCAGAGATCCAGCTTACTTTGATGAAAACTGGCTGAACAGGATCAAAACAGAAGTAGGAGATAACTGGAGGCTAAAGGTATTTGACTTTGCTTGTCTGTGAGTCTGTATTTCAGTTCTTAATAAAATGTTGAAACCTAAATATTAGTGTATTTCTAGATTATTAGTGTATTTCTAGATTATGACCTTGCTTTATTATACAGCATTTTGAATTTTAGACCATTTCAATTACTTTGTGTTTTTTATGTTGTTAGTCCTGTACAGTTTAGTGAAAAAGATAATTTGAGTTTGTAAATTGGTTTCAGTATTTAAAAGAAAATGTTGAAATAAATTTTATGCATTCCTTACTTCTCTTTGTTTGTCAAATGTTGAGTGAAAGAGTTTTTTAAATGGAAAAGAAAGTAGCATTAAAAAAAGCTTTGAGAAGCAGTTGCATAAAAATGATAGAATAATAAGCAATTTATTTAAATAAAAACAGTAGTGTTTTTCCTTTTACATGCTCAGTAGTTCTGCAGAGCTGACATTTAAGAGAGGAAGTTGTATTTTTTTCTGTGTTGTTTGTACTCAGCATGTTTTTTAACTACAGTGTATTTGCTGGGTCATTTGTATCACTTGGTATTCTAGTACTTTCTCTGCAAACCTTAAGATGTTTTTAAATAGAATTTACAGTGCTGTGGCTGAAGAACATAGTTTCGCATGCAGATTCAAGTGAAGTTTCTGACAAGTTTTGTTCAGAGAATGATATATGTAACTTTATAAATTGCCATTGCCAGCCTGACTCCTTGGGGAAACAAAATAGTGATGTTTTGTCTATTAATTCATGTTTCCTATAAAACTATTTTGTTCTGGCTACCAAAACCTCTTCTGAACATCTTGGGGAAGGGCTGCAGCTGTAAAGTGCTCTAGTAGTTACAGGCTCATCAACATCAGTGACTGAATAGAAAGAACACACAAGTAAGTGCCACCTGAGACAAGGATGGACCATGCTGCTGTTATGTATATTTTAACTTGGCCAGCAGATCTTGTCAGTGTGATTTCTGCTGCCTGGCCAGTTGAGTGCCTGTCTGGACTGCTTTAGAATGTTTTATCTTCCAGGGCTGCCAGCAAAAACGTGGATACATTGATGAGGCTATATTGACTGGCTAGTGAATAAAAGATGTGATCCCTAAAAAAAAAAATCTTTAGTTCTGCTGCTTGAGAGCAGTTAACTTCAATGAACTTTTCAAAGCAACATGTGGAATTGCAAGTGAACAGCTGCATGCAAGGTTTTATTTTTCTGTAAAATATTTCTATTGCTTTTCCCTAAGGAATATTGAATTCTTGGCTGGTGAATTTGGAGAATAACAAATTGAGAACTGTTTGGTTTAATAGCACTTCAGTGCTGATTGAAAGCAGAGCAGTAGCTTCTGTATCTTTCACGTGGAGCTTGAGGAATAATTTTTTTTTTTTATGTCTCCTACCATTTTGGCAAATACTAAGGCTTAGCAGGTGTAAATAAAAAAAAATAAGTAATGAAAACAGCTAAAAAGCAGAGCAATCTGGTAACTTCCTTATGTAATTGAGGTTGGAAAAACATCAGGTCAATTTTCAGTTTCTTGCTGATGTCACTTTTTTTTTTTTTTCCTCTCATAAATATATGTAAATAAGAACATAAGACTTTATGTTTTTAATTTTTGTATAATTTTTTTTATATACCACTTCCCTTTTTATGAAGACTACTAAAAGGTGCAAATGTGATATTTTAACTCTTACTGTGTAACCAGGAAAGTAATCTTATACTATCCAATTGTTCCTCTTCTTCATATGTGAGTTAACACTGTTAGTAATCTAGTTGTTCAGATCTCTTATGAGCCAATCCATTTATAGGAATGCTTTCAGTTGGTGCATTTCTATTGTTTTGGTACTAGATATAAAATGTAAAAAGCATACTCTCCATAATTATGATCTAGATTTCCCTTCATATTCTAAGAAGTACCATATGAAATTATTATTGGGTTATTGTACTACCTCACAAGTTATGCTAATGAGTGAATTATATTCTTGTTGCTAAACATGGTTGCTCTTTGCCTCTAATATCATATGGTGTAGTATTCATCACTTATGCAAGCTCTTGATATTATGAACCACATAAAGGAGCCAGTCTAGTAGGGGAAGTTAAGAAAAAACAAACTAAAATGTAATGTGCAGGTAGTTTTATTTTGTGGAACAATGGTTAGGAGGGCCTGATAGGGGTTAGTTTAGGCCTGATACAGCCTTCCTAAATAAGAGATACTCAGAAAATTGTGCAGTTGTTAACTTTGAATTGGATGCTGTCCTGTTTATTCCTGTTTATTGGAACAAACAGTTTTTTTTCTTCAGCAGTTCTCTTGCTGATAACTGCAGGAATGCAGTCTTAGGAAAATATTTTTCATGTTGCTGTACGAGTTTAAAGAAGTACGTAAGTTTACAGGGATGTTTGTTCTTGGTTTCAGGGCAGGTTATCTTGACTTGAGAGATTGGGCAACGCACAGGATAGAAAAGGGGAAATATTAGAACTCAGAGGACTTGCAAAGTATGAAGCATTGAGCAAGCATTTTGTGTTGCAGCTGGGCAGATCTTTGTTGTGCTTACTGAACAAACATGTTTTTACTTCTTTGGTGTTAAAATTTCTGGGGCATAGCATATATCCATTTACATAAAAGTTTGTTTTCCCTTGGGCAACAAAACTCCTACTTTCAATGCTGTCTTAACTGCAATTTTATGTTCGGGGGCTGGGGGTTAAAAAAGGGGAGGCAAAGACATACCCATTTCCTGATGTAGAAATGCACATTTAATATTTAGAGTTTGAACTATGCATACACTAGTATTTCATGCTGAAGAAGAAGACATTTTGAAGATAAAATGGCCTTTATTGAAAATGGGAAACGGCATACAAAATAATTCTGTTGCCAGATTTTGTAGGAATGAAATTTCCTGATCAGGAAACAAGGTTAGTACAGGAATACTAGTAATAGAACAGAAATTTGAACAGTTAAGGATTTTCAAATACACATGTCAATTCTGGCAGTTACAGAATAAGTTGTTGACTGTCTAAGTGATGAGATAAAAATGTTTTTTTTTTTCCCCCTTCCATACAGTATAGTCATACGTAGCTTGGGAAAGGAAGGAAATATGCTGTGAGCTTGATTTCTGGCTTTTTTTTTTTTTTTTTTTTTTATCTGAACTTCTTTCTTTGGCTTTCAGACTACAGTATCAGTTTTAAGTACAGTTTTATTGATGTTTAATGGTAGGAAACTGTTCCATTTTGTTCCATTACTGAACAGCACATTCAAACAATAGGAGGCACTAGACTTTCTACAACTAGTACAGTTTGAATGCTTTGTGCTTGATACAATATTGCAAAATAGAATAACCACTGAAATTAGAGCATGGACTGCTTAGTGTTGTAATCTGAGTAAGTAAACAGGATTTTTGAGAATTGATTTTGACTCCCTGCAGTAGTACAGGTATGTTTGCTCTGAATTCCTTCATGATAGAAGCTGGGATTTATCATTTAAAATCATTTAGGGATTTATTTTTGCAGAAGACAGGTTGGAAGGGTTTAACCCCCCAAAGCTAGTGGTATAACCTTTCTCTAGGGTCCATTTATAATTGGTGAAGAGACGTGTTCTCACAGAATGCAGTTTAGTGCAGGAATCTAATGTGTGTGGTGGGCACACTGTCTTCCCCTTTCCGGCCCATCCTTTTAAGTGCACTTTTAAGTGAACCTGGAAAGAATATGTACCTTAATGAAATATCTGAAGCTGATTGATTAAGAATTCTCTCACCACTTGCAAGTTTGCCCCGCCAACACTTTCAGAAGTTATAAAGTTCTTGATTATAATTTGTGTGAAGCAAAATGGGTCTATGTGTAATTATCCAGGGAAGATAACTGCTGAACAGCATGTCAGAACATTTGGGTTCCTGTTCAGACATATGAGGACCTGAAATGTACAAGGATAAGTCAATTTATACAGAGTCTTCAGCACAGACAGGATTTCAGTCATACATGTGATGTAAGGATAAATGCAGAATTGGGGACTGGCTGTCATAATGTGAGAGAGAAAACAAGAGATTAGATAGCCCATGCTCCCTTTTTGACAGCAGTCAGAAGCTTAAGGGCACCTCTACTCCCCACTTCATCAGGCTTTCCTTTTGTTGCTCAAGTATATTCATAAAAAGTGAAATCTAGATGGACTACCCTTACAGACCCTCAGTTTGCAAGCAGGAAGTAAATTGTAATTAAATAAAAATAGAGATTTCGTATGATGGGGGGGGGGGGAAGGGGGAGGAAACAGGAGAAAACAAAGTCATATCGTGTTGACAGATCATGTGTTGCCTTCAGTAACCCAGGGAACATCATGTCTGCTTTCATTCCAGTCAGTTTATCAAGTTAGTGCTGTATAATAAGAGTCAGTCTTACACTGGACAGTGTGTGCTAGCTATGTAGTACTACACTACAGCCAAGATGGTTGTAAACTGAGAAGGTAATTGTCATTTAACAGAAGGAACATCCCCACAGCTCTGTATGGATATTAATGAAATCTAGGTGTTCAAAGAATGAACAATAACATGCAGGTTCCCTTTGTGCATGCACTAGTTGAAAGCAAATGTCCTCCCCTTGGTAATATGAGATTGGGGAAATAAACCATGAAATGCCAGATGGAAAAGAGATTGAAAATGAATAGAGATTCATCTATTCATCTATTAATCTATTCTAGAAATATCTAGTAATACATCTATTGTGAGTTGCAACAGCTTTTAAAGTGGAATAAATCATAGTTGCCGCTATTTCTGCTCCCCTTGCTCCCTCCATAAGTTTTCTGACTCATCTGACAAAGGTATGGGTGCAGGGAACAAATGTGGAAGGGAAATCGGGGTGCTGATGCAAATGAATAAGCATCCTGTATGATCATGGGCTGATCTCCAAAGGATGGTACAGTGATTTATAGTCATGATTAATACTGGAAATTCTATCTGTTGTGTTCTATCATTGTGGCTTTGAGTTACCCTCTGGGCTTAAACCATGGTAATGATTTAGTGCTCTTTCTTAACTAGTTATAGTTAGATTTTGAACAGCCATCACCTGCTGTGATTTAGAATTCTGATGTAATTTGTTGTCTTCGACGCTTTCTTGTGCTGTTCTTAATTTTCATTACAAGTCTTCCTTGTAAGAATTTATGATGCTATAACCTGGCAAATGTTGGAGTTACTGTGTTGAATCTGAAAATACAAAACATTTGTAGTAGTTTCCCCATGATGATTATCTGCCAGTGGCAGTAGAACCTTCTAAGTGTACTCACTGCAGATGAGCTAAAGAAAAAAATCAAGAACCGTCTGAGTAATACCGAAGATCATTAAGCTTAAACCAGTCTGTAAAAGAGCTTCTCTAGCCTTACAATTGTATAATTGTGTTCAGATAGAAAGATGGTACAGTTAGCTCTTGAAAGCAAGTTATCTTAGTACTGCTGTTTGGAATAAACCAGCAGTACCAAGTGGAATAAAATAGGACCTTAGATGGGATTTTTAAATTTTTTTTTAATTTTTTCCAGTTTGTTTGCTGCTTTCTTTTTCCAGGAATGCTGTCCTATATGTTAGTTTTGATGGTAGATTTTGATCAATACTGATTTTGTTCCAGCATCTCAAGTCTAACTAAGCTTTTTAAAAGTTTCATGGAGGAATATGACTCTTTGTATTTAAGGGATTTTAATTCAAACAATGCTTACAAGAAAAGGGGAAAAGAAGTATTTTGTAGGTGGTTAACTTCCACTTTATTTCTCATCGTTTGGGGTTATGTTCAAATTCAAGGTTTCTCACAATATTCTCATTGGCAAACTAGACTTAAATTCTGCAACACGACCTTTGCGTTTCTGTGGCACTTTCCGCAGCAGACTCAGGTAAATTGTAAAACAGAAAATTTTAATGAATCAAGTTTGAAAATTACATTCCAATCAGTTTAGTATTTGTCATGGTGATTTGACATCAAAATTATTTACATTTCTTTGAATTCTTAAATCTCTTGCAGACTTTGGTTATGATTGTGCTTAGCCTTTGAGAGTGGTGATGGCGATTGCTTTTGGGTGGATAGCTAGAAGATAGTTGTAGTTCTCACAGAAACATGACATGTAAAGTGTAATGTTACAGAAATATCAGGTGTTTGGTAGTAGAAGGTGTAAACCTCAAAGTAAACTAGTTACTATGCTATTATGGGAGGGACAGTATATGTTATACAGGTGCTATTATGTAGCATTTCCATCACTCATTCTTTGCAGAACCTGTTTACAGACTTCATAGAATGATGATATTTTACACTGGAAAGGATATGTAATTTCATAGTAAATTAGAACCCTCAAGAGCCCAACTGTTAACTTTAACAAGTCTATCATATAAACCATGTCCCAAAGTGCCATGTCAATGTGTCTTTTGCAGCCTGTTCCAGTGCTTGATAACCCTTTCAGTGCAGAAATTTTTCCCTGGCAGAGCTTGAGGCAATTACCTCGTGTCCTATTGCATGCTGCTTGGGAAAAAGACCAACTGTACCTTGCTACAATCTCCTTTCAGGTATCTGTAGAGTGCAGATAAGATCTTTCCTTAGCCTACATTTCTCCAGACTAAACAACCCCAGTTCCCTCAGCTACTCCTATGTCTCAGGAGAAAATAGTGTAATTGCTGCTATTATCTACGTTCCTTCCTTAAATACTTGGACTTTAATTGGTGGGAATCTGTAGCTCAGCAAAAAAAATATTTTTTTTTCCCCTAAATATCACTTATGGAATCTATTGGGCATTTTTATAATTTTAAAGGCACTCTTTATTTCAGAGACTTGATGTAAATAGATTTTCTCCAGAAAGGGAGCTATATTCAGCACTAGAGAAGTGTGGCAAGCAGGAGACACTTAATGAATGGTATTGATTATGCAAGTGAACAAAAGCTGTCTTTGTACAGCAGTGAAGGCATCACTGAGAAATGTGAATTTTGCCCTGATGCTCTAAGACAGACATTCAGTTGTGAAGGACTGGGGGTGAGGGTGGCATGACACATGGACAGGCACAAACAAAAATGGAAGAACTAAGATGAATAATTAATGAGAAGGTTAATAAATTAAGCTTACATAGGCTGGGAATAAAGGATGATTTTGAGCAATAACTGGTATTGGTTTGGGAGAAGAGGTTCATCTCTGCAAAAAAGTAGAGCACTGGGATACTCCAAGAGAAGAAAGGAGGAAAAGAGTGGTTTAACTTCCAGATATAAAAATAATCCTAAAATAAATAAGTACTCCAGAAAGATTAATATTTTAGAGCCTATCCAAGACAATGTGATGTTTTTCGTAAATTTAAATGGGTTCAGTCAATTAACAGAGATTTGTAATCGTGTGTGGAATCTGATCATAAGGGACCATTGCATAACTTTGATGATTCTAATTAAACTGCTCAAACAGAAAGTCTCATTGTGCAAATAGATGTATGATTCTTTTATATGATTCTTCTATGACTGCTTACTTTTTGATCATTTTTCTATAACTTATTCTGTTCATTTATTGTATTTCCTACTTCTTCTTGTCAAATAGGTAAGCAACCTGAAGAAAATTTTAAAAGGAATATTGGATTACAACCATGAGGTAAGAACCATTTTAAGTAATCTACATCTACATTTCTTTTTGGTTATGTATTTTAACTAACCCGTTTAATGTAGTTTATATTCTGCTGATTAAATTATGACTTTTTCTTGCAAAGTATTTGGCATACAGAGTGTTTCATGGCCTGTTCTCTGGTGTTAGACTTCTCTAAAACTTCTCACCTACTTTATTGAATAGTCAGGAAATTCTGTCATACAAATAGTAGAGGTCTTTGCTGACTATATCCCAGTGATGGAATTGTGTTTGATTTTTGTCCCTTTCTCCGCCACTCCAGCTAAAGACTGCTGCTGGTTGTTTTTTTTTTGTTTGTTTGTTTGCTTGTTTGGTTTTGTTTTTTTTTTTACCTTGAGAGACTGAAGAGTATTTTTAGCCTCTCCCCACATTAAAGTTTTTGATTAAATGTTTTAATCCCAAGATGTCAAAGTCTGCCCTTGGCATTCCCTCTTAGGCTATTGAGCAAACTCAGAATCTAACCGCTCCAGAGGAGGTACGATACAGTATTTTTTTCAGTGGTGAATCTTCACCTGAAATATGCTTTTAGTCTCAGTGATGTTTTGAGGCAAATTGATCTGTACAGGCTGCAGCATAAAATCCATAATGTGTATGTTCTGGACATTGCCTGTTTTAAAATACTAGCTTCTCATAAATACTTTGGAGAGGAAGATGTTTGTTAACAAACTTAAGTCTTCAAAAAGGAACAGATTTTTAGAAAGAAAAAGTTAAACTGATAAGCTGAAACAAATTCTGAAAATAGGTGGAAAAGCAAGAGGGTTATAACTGACATTCTAGAAAGAAACAATTAAGGTTTTTTTCTTATAGAAAATTTATATTTGTATGACAAAGCAATGCCAGCTTCTTTTTGGCTATTTAGTATATATGATTAAGTTTCTGGTGTAAAAACTTTACTACCAAGCAAAATCTGAGCTGTTTCAAGCTAATTAAGTTCTGCAAAGATAATGCAGATTTGTAAGTTTGACTGGATATTGGTTTGTGGGTCTTTTGGTTGTTTTTTTTTTCTTTTCTGTTGAGGTGATGCTTGTGGTGATAATGGGGATGACCTGGATTCTGCTATGAATCCTGGTTATGTTTTCCTCAACCTCATTCACTCTTCTAGCAGTCTTCTTCTACAAAAATATAGATGTGAATGTATGTAGATTTTACCTGATGTAGCTAAAAGCCTTTGAAAAGTGTATATGCTAATCTCGTTAATTTTCAGAAATTTCTATTGCATTCAGGAGAACAGTTTTTCAATAGCTGTCCTACGTTGCTGTCTTTGTCAATTATAGTATGGTAGAACAAGAAGATAAAGTTATCTATTTATAGCTTGCACGCTTTGTTATGCCCCAATAATCTTGCTGCAGAACTCTGAGCTCTGGAATTAAAACTTACTTTTTTTTTATTTATTTTTTTTTTAGTAAAGGTCTTTCATATTTGTTTTTTTTTAAAGGGGGATAATGCTCTTTTTCATCTCAGAATATTTATTGGAGAGTATAATTTTCGTATTTTGTTGTTTGTTTTTTTTAAACTAAAATTATACCTTTTATTTACTTCAAAATCCTCTGTTTCAAAATCCTTCACATTCTTGGCTTCTGCATAGTGCCTCCTGATATGCGTCTCCCTTCAGCTTTCTTTAACAGCAATTACATTATCAGTAACTATGAAGTATTATTGACTTAAATCTGGCACTGATTTTGAAAGAAATTCAGCAACTACAGAATATAAAAACATGTCAAGTTTGTATAATTCAAAGAATCTGAGTCCTTTAAAGTACACAAAGTTTTTTAGTAGTGTTAATGCTCAGTTGGAAAGCTGTTAAAAAAAAAAAAATAATGCCACAATAGAAAAACCAGTCAGAACAAACTCAGCTACAACAATTCCATAAAGCCCAACCCTGGAAAACTTTTGAATGGCTCGATTTCCATGTATTCTTCATATACATCTGTTAAGTGTTTTTCACAAATACCTTTACCTAATTCACTGCTTTTCTTGAGTATTAACATGAAAAAGGGTTTCTAGCAAACAAATGACTTGATTGCCTCCACAGTCTTTGTTTCTTTACTGCACCCTGCTTAAGAAGTGACAGTTTCTTTTTATCTGCAATTAATGTGTCAGAGCTGTGTTTAATTCTATATTTCATATTCATATTTTCAGCCCCCTGAAAGTTCTTTATGAACAATTTAGCAGAATTGTTTAATTCCTTCTACTGACAATCATTAATGTAAATCCTTCTTAATTATAAATAAGATTACATTAATTGTAAGTCACATGGGGTGTTTTTTTTTTGTTTTGTTTTGTGTGGTTTTTGGTTTTGGGTTAGTTTTTTTTTTTTTCCCTGCATGTGGGCTGTTTAATTATGTATTGTACTACAGTGTCAAGTTCTCTTCCATGGAACTAGCTTTTATAGCTCTGAGACTTGCTAAATATCCTTAAATTTTGTAAAAGTGTGAGGCCGTGTAATCAGGTTTTAATGTCTTATTTTTGTCATTCATCAGTGCTAGACACATGTATTGTGCAAGTGCAATATTTCAATCTTTCTTTTTACTGGTAAGAAATGTGAGACTTGTGTATAATATATTGTGCATCATAATGTGGTTTTAGTAGATAGATTTCCTTTTAATGGAATGCTCTAAAAGAAAATCTGGTTATCCATGTGCTGTTGATCACCATGGAAGCCTGCCTTTGTTACCTTTCTTATCTGAAGAAAAGAATCTTGCTAAGTTTGAAACTAATAGATGCTTATTAGTCGAAACAGTTGTCTTTGTGTTCTCCCAAATAGTAATTCTGTCAAGCAGCATGTTTTAACATTTAGATGTTAGGTATTAGGCAGTTTTAAAGGTGGGTTGAAAACTGTGTTAAAGTATGAGTGAATTGCTCTTGTTGCTTTTGAATCATCTTTGTATTTTGAATTGTGTGGATGTATATGTGTAGTGATACAGTTGTATATGTACTGGATTTTACACAGATTCTAGGGCAACAGATTAATGACTTCATCCTTCCTGATGTTAACCTGATTGGAGAGCATGCTGATGCTGCGGAGCTTGGGAGAATGCTTCAGCTTATTTTGGGATGTGCTGTGAATTGTGAACAGAAGCAAGGTATTAAATTTTGAAAGCATGTTTTCTCCCAGCCAGTGAATGAAAATCCAGCTTGTTGTGTGACTACTTAGGGGTTGCTGTCAGAGAAAAATGTATTTTTTCAGTGATATTATTTTGCCCTACATTTAGTAACTGTTGTTTTGTTGTAAGCTTCACTTCTTTTGGAGTCTCAAACTGTGGAATTAGTTTTGCTTCCAACGTACGTATTTTCAGTTTTTGTTTGCTGAGCCATGAGTATGACTGGGGATTGGTCTGAAGGTGTGATCTGGGTTACTGTAGTTTCTGAGACTTTTGCGTGGGTTTGGCAAATTAAGAAAGAGTACAGTTGTCAACCATGCCCTCTGGGCAGCAGCTGAAGACCAAGCATGCTACCTTAAGGGAATCCAAAATATCACTCGAGGCATTTGTTAAGTGATTGAATCCCACCTCAGGAGTCACTGAAAAGAGACTTCTACCTGTCTTGACTCCCATGGCACTGACTGTCTTTCTGACCCACACAGGTAAAATGAGGACCCATTTATTTTTCCTGTAGATGCCACAGAGAATGTGATGAACAATGGAGATGCTTGTTGAAGTGTCCCAAATCTCATGCTTGAAACTTGCCTTGGGTGCAGTGTGTCATATAGTTATCCAGTTGCCTTAAATTACACTCAATTCAAACCAGGTTAAGATAACAAAGCAACTACAGCCATTTGTTCTTAACAGTTAAAACAGGAAGCATAAGAACATGTTTATTAAATATGTATGTAAGTAAATAAAACTGTGTTTACTGTATTTACATCAAAGTCACATCAAATACCTGTCCCTAATTTAACTCATTTTGTTTTCCTTTCTGTCAAAATGACAGCCAGAGTTTCAGACCTTTTGTCTGCTCTTGCATAGTCCATTTTAGCTTTTATAGCTTTTATAGCTGGTTTCTGCTTTTCAGTTTTCTCAGGAATGAAAAAGCAGAAGGGACCTATTTGTGATACAGCACAGAAATAAGAACAGTGACCAAGAATGTATATGAAAATACCTTGAATTGAGGACGCTGTAGGAAGGCAGGACATTATTGTTAAACTTACGGAAAAGGACAGCCTATGCATGGATTGAGAACTTATATAGGCTGAATAGTTTGCGAACAAGGTCAGAAAACGAGTTAAGTAGTTGTTTCAGAAGTGTGAGATGCCAGAAGGAAAAAAATGGATGACAATCATGCCCTTCTTTTCACTGATTCAGAGTTCCAGTGAGCCTGGATTTATGCCTGAATACACTTCTGACAAATTCTTAACTTAAGTTTGTTGGGGTGGGATTTGACTAATGATTAAACATTTCAGTGTCACCTGTGACATGTAATTTTGTAGGAAGGATGCAGTTTCTGACCTCATGATCTGTGTGACTTGAGTTTCAGCAGTAACATTTCAGAATGCTCTTATTTTCAGAGTACATCCAGACCATAATGATGATGGAAGAATCAGTTCAACACGTTGTCATGACAGCCATTCAGGAGGTATGCTGGGATGCCTAGAGAATATTAAAGTTCAGCCTTTCAAAAGTGTGCTTTTTTATACTTTGGAAAAACTTAGTTGAAATTAAAGAAAATAAGGGGCATAGATTTTGCCATTTTACATTAAAAAAAAACCCACCTTAATTTTGTTTAGAAAAACTTGCTTTATGTCAAGGAACTCTGGTTGAATGTCCCACTTTTCTTTAAATCTAGAAGATTGAAACTTCTAGATATTTTTGTTACTGGGTTTCCTTTCCTTTACTTTTCCCACCCTGTGACTCCTGAAGTGCACTAGACTACGTTTATGTGAGTAACTAAATACTCTAGAATTTCTTCAAAATTTGTACCTTGAAATTGCAAAACTCCATGAACTGTTAATTTCATTTACTTTTTTTTTTTTTGGAACAAGTGAAGAGAGAAATGGATAGTATTCTTTTGTCAGCTGAACTTTTAATAGCAGGCTAATGAAGTTATTTGTGTTAATATTTTTCTTGAAGTTAGTAAGTATACTGCAGTGTATTTTGTAAAAGTGCTGTTCAGTAGTAAATTAAAACCACAGTGAAAATTAAGCCGCAGTATTAGTGGCCACTATAGCCATGAAGACCCCGTGTGACTTCTTAGGAGCTCAAAGTGCCTGTAAGTAGAGTGACTATCAGTTTTTGTAGGTGAAGGTTTGCTGCAGGCAGGCAGCTTAAGGAAAGGAGGAAATCCATGGTAATCCGTTTCTTCTGGACCTAACTATGACAAACTAAATTCTACACTGAGCACTAGTGCATTTTCACTCTTCTGTAGTACCTGAATATAAAGATGTCCATGAGCCTACATGGGCCTCATCCCCTGTTATCACTTTGACCAGTGCTGTATCCTTGCAGTTGTACATCATCTGGTCTGTGTGGACAGCTGTCTGTCACACTGGAGAGGACTTTTGAAATAAGCATTGGAAGAATCCTTATGCTGAGTCATTTCCAATCAGTGCTACAAGCACCAGTTTGCATGAGTTTTGGGATATTTTACTTTGGCATTCTTCCTAACTAATACAATGCTGTGATGGATTTTCATCATGTAGTCTTTTATTAAACCCAAATTTCAGCATTACTTTTTTCTGTCCTGTCTTAAAATAGAAAACTTTCTCTTATCCTTCCTCTTTCTGTAAAAATCTCTTGGTTTATTTTTTTGGTAAAAATCTCCTTCATTTGATAAAATACCCAGATCTGAAGCAGCCTGGAATTTTCAGCATTTGATGAGTAAGCATTGAACTTGTTTAGTGTCTGTGCCGTTTCTCAGAGGTGGGGAGTAGAAGTGGGGAGAAATCAAGATGGGGGTATGTTCATCTGAAACAGATTTTTGGAATTTTTTGAAACTCAGTGAATCAAAAAGCTTACTATTCAGGTACTGATGCAGCTCTGCGTGATTTTAATGCTACCTTCCAAGCTGCTTAGAAATCCAATGCATTCCAGACCAAATGAGGAGCATCTTGGGTGCTTAATGAAGAGGTCAGAAAGTGTCTCAAACTTGTAGGGTGCGACCTCCCTTCATTATTTTTCAGTGATCTTGAAAGTCTGCAGAGGTCCCAGTTAACTGGAGGCTGGAAGAGGTTCCAGTTTTCAAGAAGGAAAAGAAGGAAGATGCTAATAATTATAGGCCTGTCTCACTCCAGTGTCTGGCAAAATTATGGAGAAGGTTATTCTGGGAGTTACTGAAAAACATGATGGAGACAAGCAGTCATTAGTCCTAGCCAAAAGGGGTTCACGAGGGAAAAGGTCTGCTTAACTAACTCAATATCCTATTATGACAGGGTCAGACATCTAGCCAGTAGATGTGGGGTGGTTTTTTTTTGGATTTTAGCAAAGCTTTTGATGCTTTCTGTCATGGTATGCTTCTGGACAAAATCTCCAGTATACATTTACATGAGTCCATAATGCATTGGGTGAGTAATTTACTAGTGAGCTGGGCTCAAAGAGTTATAGTAAATGATGTTTACATGAGGCTGGTGGCCAGCAGCAGTGTGGCTCCACAGGGGTGATTTAGGGGTCACTGCTTTTTGATGTTTTTATAAACAATCTGGACACAGGTATCAAATTTACAATCATATTAAGGCAGTTTTTTGATAATACTAAGCTAGGAGCAGCTGTGTGCTCCCTTAAGGGCAGAGTGACCTTACACAGTGATTTAGTTAGTCATAGAAGTTGAGCAACCATCACTGTATGATATTTAACAGGAACAAGTGCTGAATTTTCCACTTGGGATGAGGTAATCTTTGTACATACAGAGGATGAGAAGCTGGAGAGCAGCCCAGTGGAAAGAGATCCAGGGGGTTGAGTTAATGGCAAGTTAAATGAGTCAACACTGTGCCCTGGCAGCCAGACAGGCTAACTGTGTCCTGGGGTGCATCAAGCACAGCATAGCTAGCTGGTTGAGGGAAGTAACTGTTCTACACTGCACTGGTGCAGTCCCACCTTGAGTACTGGGTGCAGGTTTGGGCACCACAATGTAAGAAGGATGTCAAACTACTAATGTGTCCAGGGGAGAAGTGACCAAGATAGTGAAAGGTTTCAAGGGCTTATGAGGAGCAGAGGTCACTTGTTTTTGTTCAGCTTGGATAAGAGAAGGCTAAGGGTGATCTCACAGTAGTCTTCAACTTCCTCAGCAGGGGGCAGTAGAGTGGGAAGGTGCTGATCTATCTGTGGAGTTTGCAACAGGACACAAGGAAATGGAATGAAGCTGTATCAGAAGAAGATCAGATTGAACATTAGATTAAAAAGTTTCTCAGTGGGAGGGTGGTTGTTCACTGAAACAGGCTCTCCAGAGAAGTGAATCATGGCAACAAGCTTGTCAGAGTTCAAGGAGAATATGGATGATGGTTTTAGTCATATGGCTTAGTTTTAGTTAGTCCTGCAAGAAGCAGGAAGTTTTACTCTGATCCTTATGGGTCCCTTCCATCTTGAGATATTCTGTTATTCTAGTAAGAGTTCACATCCAGAGCTGTACCTGCAGTCTGTGATTTTGAGGAGTGAAACTTCACTGCATTTAAGGAGGTTTTTATATTTCTTGGACTCGGAGCAGCTCAGAGTCCAAGTAACTTGGATTTTATGTAAGAGAAAACCAGGTAAAGTGCCCAAGAGAGTAGCTGTGTATGCGTATTTGAAAAGTTGATATGTCACCTAATCCAAACATTTCAAAGCATTTGATATTCAGGTACTCTTTCTTCAAAATTAGGTATGTAAAAAGACCTCTCTAAGCTTTACTGAGGTATTACATAATTCATTTTCATGTTTCAGCAAAGCACATATAAATGCTTCTAGATACTTCTCTTCATAAATCATCTTACTCATGAAAGTATTTCATGATGTACAGTAGAACAAGCCTCTGCCCTGTTTTCTCTAGGTTGTTTTTTGTTTTTTGTTTTTTCTTTTCTTTTTTTTTTTGCATGAAGCAGCTGGATTTTAAATGGAAGGAGAAGCATTTTATGTTTTAAATTTTATTTGGCTATTTTAGTTTCTGTCATAACTTGTGACTTCAACATTTCCTTTCTCCACTGATTTAAAACTTTAAAATATTAGCAGTAAAACATACCTTATGCTCCATAAAGCTTTTATAAATTGAAAAATGCTTTTCTGTTATTTTTTTCGTACAGTCAAATTGATCTGGTGTGTTGCCACCACCTAGATTCTTAGATTCTTCTAATCTGCAGGTATGCATTTCTAAATGCAAGCTGTGCACAAGATAGAGGAAGACCAAGAATGATACAGCTATCAAAAATATAGCAACAAAAAATTACATAATTATAAATTATGTATTGTGTTTTGTATTCTGTAGAATATTCCAGTATTCTGTTTATGTCACTATATTATTACTTGAAATGGATATATTACTATATATAACAGAGATTTTTAATTTCATAATTTACAATTTTGTTTTTAAAAGCCAAAGCTTTCTCCTTATGGAAATTATTTTAGCTATTAGCTATGTCTCTTTCCTTTCCTTTCTTTGACACTCTTGGCAAATTCTGCTGTCATTTTCCCAAGTCTTTTCTTTGAGATGCCAAGTTCATTGTTGATGAAAGTGGTAGCTGGAGAAATTGCTGTTGTTGAAGGTCAAAACTTGCCTGGAGTGCATAGCAAAAGGTACTTCTTGTCTGGATTAATACCGTGTTACTTCCACAAAGTAGAAACTTTATGTTTGTTTTTTCCCCTCCTTGTGTATTGTCATGACTGTTTAAATGTTCATCTTCTCTGAAGTGAAAGTGTTTTTTGAATAATTGGAAAATGACAGAAAAATATTTCCGTGGATCTGTTAGTAGTAGTGAAGGAAGAAGAATGTCCAGCTGCATTAAAGTATATACACTGTGTCATACATAGCCCTGTCTCTTAAAAAGCAAACAAATCCAAAGATGTTTTAAAAAAGAAAAACAACCTTCTGAATACAGAAGCTGGATTTTGACATTGTTTCATTGGCAGTTTCATGAGCTTGAACAGTATTAGCAACAGTAGAAGAAGCATTTCAAATAAAGCAAATGTTTTGAATTTCTAACATCAACTAAGTGGTACATCTGCATTTGCAAAATCATGCAAATCATATGTGGAGAGAAAAACAGGCATTCATAATTCAGGTTATTCATGCATGCAGATTTTGGGATAGTTTTACCCCTTCTCTAATCTTTCTGTATCCATGACAACACAACTTGTTCACATTTCACAGGCAAAGCAGTTAAAAGTGAAGGTTTTAATAATATAAAATTAGCAGATCTACAAGTATTTTGTAAGACATCATACCAAAGCTATGGGCATGAAAATGTATAGTTGTAAAGGTTAACAGGCAGTAACAACTGATTCTCAAAATTACACAAAGAATTATAAAAACTGCCATGTTGTTCAGGTTATTGTACTATTTAAAATCCAGACTGACCTCTTTACCAAGAAAAACCTCTTGATTTTAAATGACGTTTTGTTATTTCAACAAATACTTGTGCTGTTTCAAGTCTTAATTTAAATATGCAAATAAACCATAAAAAGATCAAGGAAGTAAATGCGAGTCATTTGCTTTCACTGTGGGGAGCTCTTAAAAAGACTCTTCCTTCTCCTGTAGAGGCCTAATGCTTGATTTTGCAGACACTTTATCGACTTCTCTTTTTATAATCAATTCTTTTGTAAAATCTTTCACATCATCATCCATTAAAGGTACATGTGAAGACAGGTAATAATATTTGTCTGAATGTGAGCTTGTAAGTGAAGGAGAGAAAGCAGAACACAGGCATTTGCTTACCCATACCATTTACCTCTCCAGAATGTGGGAAGATGTGTAGGGAAAAGATGGAGACCATCCTTCACCCTGATGTTTTCCCTTTTCACCCTACTTCTTCGCTTCAGGTTATTGTTAAATTATCAGAAGTTGTATTTCTGTATTACTTCTGGGTAATCTGGCAGTCTTGTTCCTTTTCCTTGTCTGATCATATGGCTGGATACAGCACAATCCCACGGATTTCTTCTTTAGTATTCCCAACATCTCACAGGCTGTAAGATTGCAAGATGCTTCTTGTTGCATTGAGCCAGCCTGTGGCTTTTTCCCTCAGTGCCTCATGCATACTTCCCATGGCATTCCTCATGCACCTGATTCAGCTAATTCACAAGTTCTGTGTAACATTCACACTACCCCCGCACCGTGTATCTCCCCCACCTAATTCTTCTCCCAGCTAATGACCTCTTTTCTGGACATTTCTGTTCAGGGTTCTCAAGGATTGGAATTTTTGAGGGAGATGACAAAACCCGCTGAAGAGTAAAGGGATTGTATTATTTGCCTCATCCTGCTTTCTTTATGGTAATCCACAGAAAGCGGCAACACCACAGTGGCCTCTAGTGGGTTTTCAGCCTCTTGTATGCCTCCTGCAGTATCTTTTGGCAGGTCTGTTAAACTCGGTTTCTGAAGAGGAAGTTGTGCTGTGGCCACAAAGGCTTGGTGGCTGTCAGTGATACATTGTTGAACACCCCTGCGGCCTGGGACCTGCCATCTCTAAAGTCTGGCTTAGTGGATGCAACTTATGTAGTGTCTGAAGTGCTTTTGTGAACAGTGTTATGGGATATGTAGCAGGGACAAGTGTTCAATATTTGGTTGATAGGGATATCCTCCTTAGTCATCTGGAAAACCATTTGAACAGTGATATTAAAATGGTGCATGTACAGACATTACAGAGCAGAGAGGGATTGGACGTTCTTGGTTTGGATGGCAAATTGATAAATCAGCTTAGAAAACATGGTCCTAAATTAAATACAAGTTTGTAACATGAATGTGTATGGTAATGAGGAAAGATGTGTTTTCAGGGGGCAGTTCTGAGGCTAGAAGTTTTCTTATTACTGTTACAGAGAATCAGGGTTTCATGGAATGCTTCATTTCAGTGTAGTTTGGTATTGTAAAGATGCAGACAAAGTGGGAGGAATTCAGTTAGCAACAAACATCAGGACCTGAGAAGTACTCCTGAGGACATCCAGATGAACTTAAGGATGTTGCATGCAGCTAAATCCCAGCTAAAGAGATAGAGAAAGGGAAAGAAACATTAGTGGATAAATATTGGAGTGATGTAAATGTCAAACAGGTTTTCTCTTCTACACAGTGGTATAAACAGGATGGAGAAGAAATGAAAGCTCTGTGTGCATGTCTAAGGAACTTTGCCAGTAAAAAGTAACGCAAAGGCACTGATTCCTGGAAGAAATAAAGGAAGCCCTGTCTCTGACGAAAGTAACCTACTGGAGAGGAGGTCTTAGGAAAGAATTTGGTTTTAGTTAGAATATGGCCTTCTTGATTGTTAAGTTTCATGAGTTGTGTCACTGGAGCGCTCATAGAGCATTTTGTCTTTGGGTAGGATGACAGAAACCATCAGGGTGGTTTTGTAATGCTGCCCCTTTAGTTAGTTACAACATATTTCTTATTTGGAAGACTGTTTCTTTTTGTGTCTTACAACTTTAAATAATAATGACACTATGTTTTCTGGACATGTCAGGGCTACAACTTCTTGTTACATTAGATTTAACTTCTAACTACCTGTGTAGCCAGTGGGTTACTGAACTAAAACTTGCTTATCAGCTTTTTCTCTTTGAGCAAGTGTTATCAGTCAATATGGGAGGCTTTTGTTTGTTTTTTAAAAGTCGTGGCTGAAAGTAATGTTTGCTAGACTAAAATTACTGCCAGCTATTCCTGCAATCAAATAGGTTAGTGTAAAAGGAATAATAATCCTTACTTCAGGAATACATGCTAGGGACTTTGTTTTTAAATTTGCAAATTACAGACAACTCCAGAACAGGAATTTTAATCATCTTTGTTTACACAATTAGCTGAAATAGGTAGGTCGCCAACTTCAGCTGAATAAATAAATAAGTTGATGTGGACTTCCAGGTAATCAAAAAATGAAAACCGCTGGCAGAGAACAGTTAAAGGCAGGTCTTGCATGGTGTGTTGATAGTACCATCATTCAAGTGCCACTTCAATAAAATGTTTAGCAGAGTGTATTATAGGTTTCATTATAGATAAACAATGTGTGTTGTCTGAAGAAAAAGAGATGATGAAAGATTTCTTTTAGTGTTTTAAGTATTATAAGTTTTAAGATTTCTTTGTGTAATCGTTTCTGAATGTCATATTAAAATGAAATTAAAAACTTCTGAATGAAGTCATATTGAAGCTCCCAAAGTTAAAATCAGCTTCCTTCATTGCAGCTTAACTTTCCCTGGGGGTTGGAACTAGATGATCTTAAGGTCCTTTCCAACCCTAACAATTCTATGATTCTGTGATTCTAACTTTTAAGATAAAAGTAAATCCTTGCTTTTTCTAATCCAGTGTAATCTAATTGCAGTTGATGAGTAAAGAGTCTCCAGTCTGTGTTGGAAATGATGCTTACGTTGACCTTGATCGGCAGGTATCTAAGACTAGATGTTTTATTTTCCTTCAATCATAGCACATCAGTGGCTAGTGGCTTTGCTTTATTAATAAGTCTTCTTTTTTTTTTATTTTTTTAATTGTGGGAAATTTAAACAAGAATTTGAAAAATAGATTTCAGTATTTCAAGTCCTTTTGCTTTATAAATTTTGTTTAACCATTTTGTGTATTTAAAGGAGAGGAAAAACTCAATTTGGAAAACAAGTTTAGCTGTATGACATAATATTGCAAAAGTGCAGACCAGTCCCTATATTTGGGTATTGAGAAAAAAAGGGAATTAAAAAAAAAAGAAAAAAAATTAGTATTTGAATATAACTTCTTTTGCCAATTCCTACTTCTAAAGTTTGTTAAAAAAAAAAAAACAACAAAACAAATAACCCAACCCAAAACCAAACAAAACCCCTCAAACACACTCAAAAAAAACCCCACCCAAACCCAATAACAACAAAAAAACCCCCACCAACACATAGATGTGGCTCAAAAATCCTTAAAGCAGTCCTGGGAACTCTTGCAATATGTGAGAGAAGTTCTTGGAGAGAATCTTTGTCTGTGTGATATATCTAAAGAATATGCAAAATAAACTCTTTTCTTTACTAGCTTAACCCATGGTAATACTGTCCTACTTTCTCTTTTTTTTTTTTTTTCCTAATTGGGAAGTAGTACTATTCTCTGGTGTTCCATGTGTTCCTCCATCATGTGTTGTCTGCAGAAGTATATAAATTCTGACAGATGGAATTAACTTTTCTGTGTCAACACACCTTTGAGAAATAAACTTGAAAAAATAAGATGCCATTATTTTGGTTGAGAAAGCCCATCTAAAATTCATCATAGATAATGATATAGCTCTATATACAGAATATGTATGCACCTGTTTTATCAGATGAATTTTCTTTTAGCTATTTTGTTTTTATTGACTGCATTCATATGCAGACTTGCAAGATGTCTTTAAACATAAGACCTTTGAAGAAAAGCATTTGAATATTTCCCACTGGTTGAAAGATTCAGTGCCCTTTTAAAGAAGGGGTAGGATTCTCCCTTGCCATATTAATTGTGTTCCTGTTGTTCAGCAAGTGTGGCTTCCAGTGACTAGAAATTTTACCTTAATTGTCCACCCTCTGTATTCCACCTTGCAGTCCTTTTTGTATTTGAAATGTAGATTGAAAACTGAAAATATGCATGTTTTGCATCTGTAAAGAAAAGTGGTATAGACAGTTTTTTCAGTGTACAGAATTGATGAGCTCTTCAGACACAATTTCTTCAGGCCTTTTTGACTCAATTTGTAGAATAGATGTTATAATTCTAATGTATTATTTAAGACCAAATAATTACTTTTAAGTATGTTTACTTTTTACTGTCACACAAACTAAAGAGTAATTGTACCTGCTTCTTTGTTCCTTTCTAAGAATGGAATTGCCTCAGTTTTCAAAAAGTTAATATATTACCTAAATACAAAAATAATTTTATAGCCAGGTAGTTCAGAATATTTTTATACACGTCACAGAGAGTGATGAAATATAAGTGTTTGTTGTTTATGGTAGCTGAAGAAAACTACAGAAGAATTAAATGAAGCACTAGCAACAAAAGAAGAAATTGCCCAGAGATGTCATGAGTTAGATATGCAGGTAAGTTTGCTATACTGTACATGTTGATTTTGAAGTGGGAAAGAGATGTGTTAATTTTTAGGCGGATGAAAGCAAGAAGTGTAATGTGGAAACATAATTTTTTAAAGAGAAATGAAAATGAAAAGTAATTATGTGGCTTTACTTGTGCTGACAGAGAGAATTTCATTGTTTTGTTACCTTGATGCAATGTTGCCAGTATTAAGGTGATTCATACTGACAAACCTTTTTTTCATTCAGTTAGGAAGGGGTTGGGTTGTGTGGTTCAGCTCTTGCTTTAGAGAACTAATTGAGGTTATGCTGCTGTAACAGCTACAGCTAAGTGTTAAATCACAATCAGAGGTGACTGTAGTCTATCACTGTCTATGGATTTAGACAAAGCTTTACTGTAAATCAGGTGTACCTCATTCAGAAGACACGAGGAGTGTAAAGTGGGAGCCCTGAAGGCTCTGCCATTGTAACCCTACTTTGGAATATCATTCAGGCTTTTGCCAAGCAGTTCAGTAGCTGTTAGAATTGACAAAGTTGACGTGTGTGTCATGGTTGATTTTGTTGTATTTGATGATTCAAGCTTGTATTGAAGCTTTTTCTTCTGTCAGGATGTTTGCATTCCCTCTCTTCCCCTCTTGCTGCTGTATGTTAATGCTGTACTATTTAATAACACATGAACCCGTGTTCAGCTGTTGTTTGAGTTGCAGCACTCTGGGTTCTTTGCAGTACTGCCTGGTCTTGCAATGTTGGTGGAAACACAATTCATCTTTGGGACTGTGTTCCTGTTTCAAGGCTGCTTGCAAAGGGCCACTGTTTTTTTTAAATTAATTAATTAATTAATCCTGGAAGGGCAAAGCCATACCTTGAGTATGCAGAGTCGAATACTCTTTGTGAATTGTTTCTCTTAGAAATTAGGTTTAAAAGCCTTACTGTGGAGAGCTAGTTTTATTTGTTTGTTGGGAAAGAATGCAGACTTTATTATAATAAAGCTCCCTTGTATGCTAACTGAACGTTTTCTTTAGAAGCTTCTGTGAAATACAGTTAAGAATAGTTAGGTTTTCTGTGTCACATCACATAGCAGTTGAATACCTATTAATGTTGCAGTATATTCTCGTGAAGTGTGATTATTGAAGCCCGTGATTTTCCATTTGTGGGTTGTGTTGATACTTTGTTATGCACAAACAAAAAAAAATTGTTCTCTATAACTGGATAGCTCAGTTATTCCAGTTTATGCTTTTACTACAATAGGTTGCAGCTCTCCAGGAGGAGAAGAGCAGCTTGCTTGCTGAGAACCAGATTCTGATGGAACGTTTAAATCAGTCTGATTCTATTGAAGATCCCAACAGCCCTGCAGGTCGTAGGCATCTACAGCTGCAGACTCAACTAGAACAACTCCAGGAGGAAACATTCAGGTAGAAAAGCTATGCTTGGTTGGATTGTCTGTTTGTAGCTGGCAGCGGGCATGATTGATTTATATACTTCTGTTTCTCCTGGCAATTCTGAATTAATGTGGTAGGTGGTGTAATCACAGTAGTAAAGTTTTTACAATTATGTACGTGTTAAGATTTACCTCTTTACAAGATCCAGTATAAAAAAAAATGCATGATTTCTTAATGCTGAAATGCTGTATACATGTCACTCTCTACTCTTTGAAGTTGTTTTGAATTGTGTGCAGTCATTTCACTCATGTTTTTCAGAATCAGTGAGAATGAGAAGTAGTATGCTTTCCTCTATGTAAATTATTCTGATTGTATTTTTAAGGTGTAGGAATTCTTACCTGAAAGTTTGCTTTGGGCAGTACTACAGGTGATATTGTTATACAATAAAGTGTGTCCTTCTTTGAGTTTGAAAATAGATTGTTTCATATCTGAAAAATGGGGATTATCTGCAAGTGAGCTCTGCTCTTCATTTGCATTTCCTTAATACTTGGAAATACCGTACTTGTTTAAACATCCTTCCTGGTCCTTTTAACTATTGCCTTCAAGCTGTGTAAACCTGTTCTGTGGAGATAAAGCTGGTCCACTTCATCATCATCTTTTCATTCTTTTTGCTGTACTTTCGCTATCCTTTGTGAATGAAACCATATTTGTTTACAGTGCCAGTATTTCTTCTCTTTGTCCTCTTCTGGTTGCCCTTTGCTAATTCTTATGTCTTTTTTTTTTTCTTTTCTTTTTTTCCCTGTTTTACTTTTTTCCACTTAGTCTCGCTAGGCCTCTTTTTTCCTGGGGGCTCAGGCACACCTTCTTCCTTCAGTTTCTTGAAAAATGCTTAGTGTTCCTCTTTCACAGCAATTAGTACCTGGTTTTCTTCTTTCTATACATCTACCATATAAAGGAATATGTACTAATGTGTCTCTGGTGTCCCCTTTTATCTCTCCTTATTCATGCCCATGCTCTGGAATGGTTTCAACCTGAGTCTGTTGTAAGTTGCAGTTTGAACAAGTTTTCTCCCCATATCCAGTATCTGCACTGCCTGCTACTGTAGTTTCAGGTAGTGAAGATCTTTCTAAACCCTTTTCACATGTGAGATTCATTTTCCAAACTCCTTTACTTCCTTCCCCTGCCTTCCTAGCGTGTGGTTTCTAATGGCAATTTATATGTATTCCTTCTCCAGCTCTGCCTGACAAAACAGGACGTTTTTACAGCATAACTGATGCCCAGTGTCGTATAACAGTTTTTCTCCCTGTCTTGCCTCTTTATGTCCTTTGGCAGTTCTGGTCTTATCATAATCCAAACCTTTGTTGTGTATAGTTTAGATGACCTATTTCTTTAGATGACCCATGACCTTTAGATGACTATCTCTTGTCTTCATTCTTGTAGATTCTTTTTGAATCTGCTTGAATTAATGGATAATTTTTAAAAATTTTTTATTTCATGCCCATACCTTCTTTTCTGGATGTGTTTTATCTTCATTTCAGATAAAAATCACAGTAAGACTTCATGTTCCAGATTGTGTCCTCTTACATTGGTTCAAAATGCTTTGACAACGTTTTCCTTAGTTACGCCCTTTGTTCACTGACATTTAAATGCAGGTTTGCCTGTGTATGCTGTATGTAAGTAGTTCACTCCAGAATCTTTGGTCTGAGTTGTTTACATGCTAACTAGATAACTAAATGTATGACTTCATTCTTCAGAGGTACTGGGCATGCACATGTGCTTTTAAGTAAGAAAGTAAATAAATAAAACAACCTTGATGAGAGCTCTGCAGTATTTAGAACATCTGATAATTGGGTTAATGTTGCTGAAGGTATGTAGGATTTGAAGAGCTAAACAAAATCTTAGGATAGAGATGCCATGTTAAAAAAAGTGGAAATTTTTCTTGAGCGCCATTGTGAACAATTTCTGTGACAGAAAAAACTCGGGATTTGTATTTCTGACAATATACATTGCCTTCTGATCTTCCCCATAGAAATACTGCTATCAACTTCAAAGCATCAAAAAAGTCAGTCTGAATCTACATTTTTGAATAAGCACATTGGGCTGCTGTTCTCCTTCACTGCACCAGAAGGACACTCGTGTTTTTTGGAGAGGATGATGAGGAATGGTAACTGGCTGGAGCTGAGAAATTGTCTGTTTTACTTAATTTCTACAGATTAGAAGCTGCCAAAGATGACTATCGAATACGCTGTGAAGAACTAGAAAAAGAAATTGCTGAATTGAGGCAACAAACAGAAGAGCTTACTACATTGGCAGAGGAGGCTCAGTCTTTGAAGGATGAGATAGATGTGCTAAGGTAAGCTCTGTTCCATTAACCTTTTTTTTTTTAACTAACTTTTAATCCATATAAATCATGTGTACTTAGTCTTCATTAGTTCTTGTTCAAATAATTTTAGTGTTAAATATAAACATTTTCTCAATGCCAAAGTTATTTTGGATCCTCTAGTTAATTACATACACCACCACACAATTCCACTGAAGTAAATTAGTTATTATCTACCTAATCAATAAACTGTTAATAAATTTAGCAATCCTACATCATGTTGTTGTCACAAGAAGTCACTCACTGGTCTTTTGAGGTGCTCTGCTCCCCTTCATCATGAGTTGGGCATCTGCTCTCACCCTTTCCGTACCTGGGTTTGCATTATTTGGACATTGGGTGGCGCTTTTGGTTCATCGTATAGTGCTAGTATGAGCAGTATCTGTTAAAAGCTCTCTTTGCCGCTTGAGTTTAGCACCCAAGTTGTCATGATTTGATGATGATAGGAGTTTATAGGATGTAGTGGGCCCTTAACTGTGGAACTATGAAGCATAATTTTTAAGTAGTGACATCTTGCTGCCATGAGTTATTCAGAACAATTATCCATTACCCACCTGTATCACTCTTTTTCTGGCAAGTCTAGCAAGGCATATTTTAATATTGCCTTATCTAATTCAACAGAATTTTACCAAAGCTATCTGTGAGTGATAGTGTCTAAAAGTATCCCTATCAATAGCTCTTTTGAGTTGACAAGTATCTATGGGAGGGGAGCAGGCAATTTAAAAGTGTAAACATTAGTAACAGGAGGATATGGTTGCTTTCTTCTTGCTGTGATTTCTCAGGATGTGTTCTGCATTAAGGCAAAGTATGAGGAAGCTTCAGGACATTTAATTCTGTCAGTTTTCAGAGTACAAATTTAATAAAAATCTGTCTCTGCAGGCATTCTTCTGATAAAGTAGCCAAGTTAGAAAGCCAGGTAGAGTCATACAAAAAGAAATTGGAAGACCTGGGTGATCTGCGACGGCAAGTGAAACTCTTAGAAGAGAAGAATACAATGTACATGCAAAATACCGTGAGCCTGGAAGAAGAACTAAGGAAGGCCAATGCAGCACGTAGTCAGCTGGAAACATACAAAAGACAGGTGAGAACAGACATTGTCAGTGCAACAGTTCTCTGTATTGTTCAATACTTTCCCATCATAACATGGCTAATACCTCAAAGTAAGAAAGAAATGATGAACAAACAGCCCTTCTGTTTAGAAGACTTCCATTATTTGTAGGTATTATCTTTGTCCTGCTTTTCTGCAATTACTGTCATTATTTCAGGTTTACATTAGTTTGCAATAAGCGGTATTTCTTACTTTTAAAAAAATCAGCAGATGTGTTTTGCTCAAATTAGTCCTAATTCATATTCAGTAGCAAAGCTTGAATTAGAGCGTCCTCTTTCAGAAAAAGTGTCCAATTTTCACTTACAAACTTCCAGCAGTGAGGAACGCATGACAGATGAGGTAAGTTATTCTTGTGGCTAAGTATCCTCTTTTTGAGGTTCTAGTTTGTCTGAGTTTGTCCAGTAAAGAAGACAGAAGGATGCATATCATCCCTGTTGTTTATATGCACCCATTAGAGTACAACATGTACCACCAGTATGCTCTCTGAATAGCATCTGTTTATTCTTCTGCTTGTCAAAGTACCATGTGATCCTGTTTCTGTAAAGGTGAAAGGTGTGCTTAATGTACTCTCTGCTTCTATGCTACATTGACATGGCATCATTCTGGGATTCTTGTTACAGGGCCAGGCAGAGCATGGTGCATGAATGGTTGTGTTACAGGGATCCCTATATGTCGGCTTGCAGCAGAATAAGAATACAGGAACAACCAGTAATAACAGTACAAGCCCAGGAGCAGCGGCAGTATGTGTCCCTAAGACTCAGTAGCTTTTTTTTCCTGCATCTGGGCATTTTAATTAAGACTATTAGCTTTGGCACCCGCAGACTAATTGTAACAGTTGAAATGATTCCACCAGAAGAAAAGAACTTGGTCAAGAAAAATGCAGAAATAACAGACAATGTAAGGGAAAAGTAAATCTAGAAAGCAATTGCCTTTCACGTATGACTAGTATCATGTTTGCTGGCAACAAGTATTTCACTCCATGGAACAGCTAAGCATGTGAAACAGTCGTGTAACCTTGACATCTGCATCTGGTTATCCATAGTTCACCAACAATAAGGATTTTGGAACGGGAAGGCCCATCATTTGTGCTGCAAAAATATTCCTCCTTTTCTTGGTCATTCTCTGTTTATTAGGTAGGATTTAATGTCTGAGAAGCTGTCGATACACATAAAACTGTTCCGCTGGCTGAGACTGCAGTAAGCCTTGAGGTGTCTTGTGGCAGATGAGTTTTCTTTACCTAACCACAGTGCCTCAAAATTAACACAGTGTCTTTGCCTTCAGTGTCTGTAAGGCTGTACGTCTTGTCCTTGACACCTCCTGTGAATCATAAAATTAATTTCATGGATTCCTAAACTGTGTTGTAAGAACCCAGACATAAGGACTTTGGTGTTAAGTCACTGCTGGGCACTAGTGTGCCCTTGTTGTGGAATGTATCTTGTTTGGTGTGTGAAGGATCCAACCCCACTCCTGATGGTGCCATCAAAGGAGTTACTTCATTGGCTTAAAAGCTCAGTGCTGTGCAGAGGAAAGTGCTTGGTTCAAACTCTTGGAGCAGTCTTCAGGGGAATCACATCTTCACCCCACCAGCAGCTTCTGTGAGATGAAGTTGTTGGTGCTGGGAGATGTAGTAGCAATTATTTGATTTGAGAATTTTTGTTCATTGTTCTAAAAGCAAGTAAAGTATTTTCTTAGAAACTTTTTATTGCAGGATGGAGAATTGAAATATGAAGATCCCAGGATTTTTTTTTTGTCATATTAATTCAGCCCCTTTGTGCATGTGCATTCTGATAAATTTTTAACAGTACGTCTTGCTTTTCTTTGCTGCAGGATTCCTGCTTTATTCATTCCACATGTCAGATAATGCTCAGTAAATGTGATGGCAGTTCATTTTTGTTGTTTTTTTTAGTCTTCTGCATTATCATGTAGCTGTATATCTTTATACGCTCACAAGTCCTGATTCCAGACAATTTATTTCTGCTCTGTTTTTCTACATGCCATTATCATAGCATGAGTGATCGCAAACACTAATACATTTGTAGTTATTGATAGCCCCAGTGATGGATGTCACATCTGAGAAACAAAATATTTGCATATCTAATATTTTGATATCTATATATTAATTTTTTTAACCTGATAATCTCAGAAATGGTAGGTCTGTGCTTTTTTTTTGCAGCCTTTAATTGAAGAACAATAGCAGTCCTTCTCCAAGACTTAAGATCATGCAAATTTTTAGAGTTAGTAGTTATTTTGCAGTAGATACACACATTGAAAACAAGTAATGAGAACCACTAGGCAGTCTTAATGTAGGTATAGCTACTGCTTTGCTTCACAATTTAAGATAATTACTTGCTCTGTAATCTAAAAACCATGAAAAAACCTTCTTTTGATTTGCTTCAGAAGCAGCTGTACTTCTTTAGCTGAGTCTTCATTCAGGTTTTGTGTTTTCAGGTAGTCTTTATTCAGCTTACTTGCTTCCATGCTCTCTGCATTATGAGCTTTACTAATGTGCTAGGAATGAGCCTTTGATAGTAGAAGCTAAGAGTTTCAAAAAGGCAAGTCTTTACTGACGTGCCTCTTAGTCGGTGGTTGTTTCAGCTGAGTTTTCAGATTTCTGCTCATTTAATTTTAAAAGCTCTTTACTGGTCTGTAGTTAAAAGACTAAATGTGATATTGTTAGAATGTTTCCTTCTGAAGTAAAGAAAACTGTTTATAAGCCTATGGCTGAATCTTTATACTAGCGTATTAAAAATTATTAAACACATCCCGGGTTAAGAAACGATACCCAACGGTGCAAACCGGTGGCTGAATTCTGAGTGAGGCTTGTGAAATAGAGTTAAGAAAAGGTGTAGATAATTTGCTTTCTTCAGAATGTTTTTCTTTCTCCTGGGCTTCTCAGAATGCAGGAGGACTTTTCTACTTTTCCTAAGCTCTTTGATCCGTAGAACTATATAGCTTTATAGTAAAACATGCTTGGACTTAAATTCTTGGATTTAGATGTACTGAAAATAGTTCACAGCTTTTGCTTCTTTTGCTTGTGCTAAGACCTAATATTTGAATGCTGGTGGTTTTGCTGAACACAGAAACACATGCTAAAAGGAGTTTTTAGTATGTTCTATAGGTTAACTATTTCAGTTGTTTACAACATGACTTGTGCATGGTAATTGGCTACTTTGTCTTCTGTATTTTGTTCTGATATTAATATTTGCAGACAAATTATTGATTCTTGTTCTCACAGGCAGTTGAACTACAGAACAGGTTATCTGAAGAATCCAAGAAAGCTGATAAATTAGATTATGAATGCAAACGACTGAAAGAAAAAGTAGACAGCCTCCAAAAAGAAAAAGATGTAAGTGCCAAGGTGTTATTTTTTTGGTAGTAGCGATAGCAACTTTGTGTCCTTTATAACACAGATATGTAATTACAGTTAGCTATTTACAGCTAGCTTTCTAAATTAGGAAGTCTTAATTTAAAGTTTTCTAACGTTTGTGTACAAGATCCTTTTAAAACCTAAGAACTGTACAGCATGGAGTAACATGACTGTACAAAACCTTATGCACAGATTTTTAAGAGGAACAGCCTTCATATTTGGGTTCTGGAGTTGTTTCTTGAACATTACCATGAGAAAGTTAATAAACACCAAGGGTAATTGTAATGCATTTTGAAAATCTATTTAAAGTAGGGTTTCTGCAGTATCATGGTAGAACTAAACTCCTGTTGCATATTTCTAAAGCATTCTTTGAGAGGTACCATCAGCATGCTTCTCTTTGTGGAGTCATGACTATTGCAGCAAAAGTCTTGGGAGTCATGTAGAGGGACATGTTGTCTGTGGCAGTCTTGCCTTTATGACAGCTCCTTGCTGATCTATCTTGTACTGCCAGCATGGAACGCACAGGGTGGATACCAGTCTATTTCTTTTTCTCTATCATTTGCTGCTAGAGATTCTGCAATTAATTGCTGTGTCCTCTCTTGCCAAGACTGATCCTTCAGACTTCTCTTGCACACTATTGTTTCTCACCAGTTTATTTCAGCTTCTTTCTTAAGAATGTATATGCAAGTGCCTCAGACTGCCTCAAACCAAGGCCTGCACTTTGAGTTAGCAGTTGAGTTACCTTGTTTTAAATATAAGTCCATCTGTCCATCAGTCAGAATCTCTGTAGGCTTTTCCCTCAGTGGTCGTATTTCCTGTCTACTTCTTTCAAAAATTTCCAGCCCCTTCACTCTAATAGGAATTGAGCTGAAAGTTTTCAGTTATTTTCTGTTCATAGTTCTTTGATTTCCATATTCTTATTAAATTCTTAAGCTGTTGTGGACACCTGTCCTTGGTATCACCTCCATCTGTCCTTCAGTTCAGATTGGAATGCCCATAGTAACTGTATTTGTACTGTGCTTTGGCTTTCTTTCCTGCTCTGTATTTAAATTGTTTTTCCAGTTTTGTTATGTTTGACAATGGTAAGGTTTTTTCTGTGGCTTATCCATTGCTTGGTGGACCATTTCATCTTGCACAAAGGATCTGAATTGCAGGCCATTGTCAGATGGTTTTCCATTTTACCCCGATGAATAGCATTTTTAGGGGTGGATGTTGTTTTTTAAAACATTCTTTTGAATGGATATGCACCTGTGAGAAGTAGATAATAGCTGAATTCTCTCAACATTTGAATTAGTGGTTCACTACCTATGTTCCCTACTCTCTGTTCTCTGTTGCCACATAGGGTATCAGTGAGGTTGTCCACTATAGGTCACAAGCTATGTAGTAGTATCTTGTCAGTTACATTTTGCCAGCAGTTGCTGAAATTTATTTTTTCCCCTTTATGTTGTGGCAAAGTTCACTACCTTCAGCTGTGTGGCTTGGAATTTTATCTCTGTGGTGTGTTGTATGAGAAGTACTAAGATAATTTGATGAGTTGACTTTGTCTGCAGTGCACAAAAGAAGCCTAGAGCTTTTTCTATCCATTAAAATATTCTGGCATTTTATTGGTGTTCTCTGATTGACTGTAGCGGACTGTGGAATTCTTGCTATCAGCAGCTGATTTAGAGCACGTGTCTGTGTGGCTTTTCTTCTGTAGTATTTATGGAAAAAAAATTCATCTGTGGGGTTTGTGAAATGACTCTCAGTGCTAACAGAATGTGCACTTTATTCAGATTGTTCTGACAGTTGCACCAGAGTTTACCTTGCGGGATTCAGAAATACAGCAGGAGTCTGTCTCACACTTCACCAAAGTGTCCTTTGGCTGTGATTCCAAGTCACAGATCCGTTTGGACTGAAGTATAAAATACATCCAAATCAAACTGTTAATAGGATGCAATGCAAGAAGCTGTCAGCTGACACAACTCCATATCTACACAGACCTGAGGTCTGCCCTGGACCTTTTAGAAGTACTGGACATGTCTGTGTTTGGAGCAGAAATTTTGAGCAAAATTTTTGAAACAACTTCAATGCCTCCATAGTTGCCATTTTCTCCTGTAATTTTTGAGTTTTGGCAAAAACTTGGTGCTACCTGTAGATTCTCAACTTTTTTTTTGCTAAAAGGAAACTTGTGACAAATCTGTGGAGTATTTACCTGATACTACTGAAAAGCCCATCTGTCTAGACCCCAAGGTGGTCAAGCTCTGTTCTCCAGTTCTCTTCTGATGGAGCTTTAAGCAACTAGTTTTCTTCCATAGCTAAGGTGCTGGTGAATTGCGGGGGCAGTTGACACACAGGAGGAAGAGGATAGAGAAATGCTGCTTACACTTTCACTGTAGAAAGACAAACAAAATGAAGTTAATGCAGTTTGTTTGTTACGTTTACTGTGTACTCACCTGCTTTTTATTTAACTCCTGGCTAAACCTTTGTTTCTTGGTCAGGTAAAATCTGATAAAGGGAAAAGGACAATGGCCCCAGTAGATGCTACTTACAACCTGGTACCAGAACTTTGTGTCACTCATATCTTGATTTCCTAAGCTTATACCCTTCTATTCTTACCTCCACAAGCTTAATACAGAGCAGCAACCTTTGTCAAAAAAAAACAAACAAACAGTACTCTTGTGTGGTATATAATTTTTATGTTTTTTTCTGTTATGAAATATGGAGATGCCTTAATTTGAAAATCATCTCTACAGTTGCAATAGATTTGTTTTACAGTGTTAAACACTATGCCTTTTGGTAACTTGTGTACTGTTAAAGATGGATTTGTAGTGCCAAGATTGATACTCATTCTCTTTCCAATTATTCAGAGATTAAGAACAGAAAGGGATTCTTTGAAAGAAACTATTGAAGAGCTTAGATGTGTCCAAGCTCAGGAAGGTCAACTCACCACTACAGGTAAAGGACAAATAAGGAGATTAAGTGCATCTTTTCTACCAGGGAGAGTACTGAATGTGCTTTTGTTGAGCAGTGAAAAGCTGCTTGAGTTGTGAATAACTTTATGAGCATTTGAAAACTTTAAATGTCAGTAAGAAATTTTGATATCCTCCCCAGTGGAGAAATGCATTTTGAAACATATTTCTGATTTCTGTGCAGTTACATAATTTTCTTTAAACACATAATAAATTCTCTCTCATGTGTGTATGAAGTTTCATGTGTTACAGTTTATTGCTGTGTAATGTTGCACAGCTTTGTAGTTCTTAGATAAGCTAACGGGCATAAAATCCACAAAATTATCAGGATGAAAGATGACAGTAATGTTTATTCTTCTAATGAAATAGTGGTTGTCTGTCTGTCTTGCTGTAGCCTGACTTTGTGTCATTTTCCACTGTCTAGCATTGCTCTAAAACTGTAAACTTGTAGAACAATGTCTGTTTCTGGTCTGTTAAAAGAAGTTACTGGTCTTCTCGCTAAATTTTTTACTTTCCTAACCAGGACTGATGCCTCTGGAAAGACAAGAGCCTTCAGACAGTTTAGCAGCAGAAATCGTTACTCCTGAAATAAAGTAAGCTAATCTGTGCTTCGTTTTACTAATCTCTACAATGTACACCCATAGATGATTGGCTAGTTTTCAGTGCTAGAAAGTGTCTATGATTAATGTTTGGGGTTTTTCTCTCCTTTTTGATTCTGCAGAACAGGAGCTGCTATGCTTAAGACAAAATTCCATTGACCTCTCTTTGGGTTTGTACTGTCCTCAAAAAAAAAAAGGGGGGGGGAACGGGACCAAAAAAACCCTTTTGTCCTCAAATTCTGTCTCTTCTTGTTCTGCAGAGAGTTCGTGTAATGTAAGCTTATATGTGCATTAAGAGGCAGAAATGTTTGTAACAAGAACATGGTGTTGTGCAAGGAAGAAATTACTAAAATTGTGGAAGGAATAGTAGGTTATAAATCCCATTTTGCATCATGGCAAATGTTTACTATCTGTTAAAAGGAAGAATAGCAGTGGCAGAGCTGAAAATCATCGTTTCTTAAGATGTTGTGTACTGTGTTTAGCCTTGCCAGTATGCTAAAAGATTTTAAGACAGCCAAATCTGAGAAATCTGTTAGCTCTTCAGGAAGTATTTTCCTTTACCTGTAGCAATACTGATGTTAACACTTGGAGAGCTCAGTATGGGTCAAAGCTTATATTTAGTAGTAAAATAATATCTTTCTAGAAAGGTGTTGATAGAGAAGATTTCTTTTTCTCTTGGGCACTTATCCCCAGTGAGCTGAAAGAGAGCAAAAGGGAGCAGAGCAAAGCCCCCATAATCCAAGGGGAAATGATGAGCAACCTGCTTACCATTTAGACACACATGTTTCTATGGGACTGGATGGGATCTGAGTGGGGGACTCAGGGAGCTGGTGGATTTGTTCACACAGCCACTTTACGTAATTTATCAGCAGTCCTGGCTAACCAGGAAGGTCCCAGTGACTGGAGGTTAGCAAATAGGATGCCCATCTGCAAGAAGGGCCAGAAGGAGTATCTGGGGAACTGCAGACCTGTCAGTCTGACCTCAGTGTTGGGGAAGATCATGGAGCAGATCACCCTGAGTGCCATCACATGGCACGTTCAGGACAGCCCGGTGATCAGGCCCAGTCAGCAGGGGTTCATGAAAGGCAGGTCCTGCTTGGCTAACTGTATCTCCTTCTATGACAACATGACCTGTTTGTTTAGTGGATGAGGGAAGGGCTGTGGGTGGTTTTTACCTGGACTTTAGTAAAGCCTTTGATGCCATTTCCAACAACATCTCCTGGGTAAACTGGCTGCTCATGGCTTGGATGGGTGTACTCTTCACTGCATAAAAAAACTGTATGACAAGCCCAAAAAGTGGTGGTGAATGGAATTAAATACAGGTGGTGGCCGATCACAAGTTGTGTTCCCCAGGGGTCAGTACTGGGGCCGGTTCTGTTTGGTATCTTTATCAGTTAGAGTGAATCTGCTGGAGGATAGGAAGGCTCTGCAGAGAGATCTGAACAGGCTGGATTGATGGGCCAAGGCCAGTTGTATGAGGTTCAACAAGGCAAAGTGCCAGGTCCTGCGCTTGGGCCACAACAACCCCATGCAACGCTCCAGGCTTAGGAAAGAGTGGCTGTAAAGCTGCTTGGCAGAAAAGAACTTCGGGGTGCTGAAAATCAGCAGCTTGTGCCCAGGCAGCCAAGAAGGCCAATGGCATCCTGGCCTGTATCAGCAGTAGTGTGGTCAGAAGGGCCAGGGCAGTGATCATCCCCCTGCACTCAGCGCTGGTGAGGCTGCACCTTGAATCCTGTGTTCAGTGCTGGGCTGCTCACCACAAGAGAGACATTGAGGTGCTGGAGCAGGTCCAGAGGAGGGCAACAAAGCTGCTGAAGGGTCTGGAGAGCAAGTCTTATGAGGAGCGGCTGAGGGAACTAGGGGTGTTGAGTCTGGAGAAATGGAGGCTGAAGGGGAGCCCTTACCACTCTCTGCAGTGATGTGAAAAGAGGTTGTAGTGAGATGGGGGTCGGTCTCTTCTCCCAAGTAACATGTGACAGGACAAGAAGAAACAGCCTCAGGTTGCACCGGGGGAGCTTTTGGTTGTGTGTTGCAAACATTTCTTGCCCAAAAGAGGTGTCAAGCATTGGAACAGCCTGCCCAGGGAAGTGATCAAGTGACCACCCCTGGAAGTGTTCAAAAGACATATAGACATGGCACTTAGGGGCATGGTTTAGTGGTGAGCTTGATATTGTTAGATTAATGTTTGGACTCCATGGTCTTAAGGGTCTTTTCAAATGATGATTCTGTGATTCTATGAAAACACACCAACAGAGTAGAATTGACTGACCCAGGTTCATGCAGTAGTTTAGTGACACTTGAGATTATAATTTTCTTTAACACTTGGCAGCAAGCTTTGTGTTCTTCATATTCTACCTATAAATCTGCCCAGCCTGTAGTGTGGAATCTAATAGGGTGTCGTGGTTTAAACCCAGTCAGGTAACTTGTTCACTCACTCCCCCCCCTTCTTTCCCTCCCCCTACTCCCGGAGGGACGGAGAGGAGAATCGAAAAGAATTCAACTCCCACGGGTTGAGATAAGAACAGTTTAGTAACTAAGGTATAACACAAATCACTACTGCTACCACCAATGATAACAATGATAAAGGAAATAACAAGGGAAGAGAATACAACACCTCACCACCAGCCAACCGATAACTTGCCCCCCTCAGCCCGACCAAGCTCTGACCGATACCTCCTCCAACCCTGCAGTCTCCCAGCCCTTCTGGCTAACTCCCAGTTACCTCCTGGGCATGACGTGCTGTGGTATGGAATACCTCTTTGGTCAGTTTGGGTCAGGTGTTCTGTCTCTGCTTCCTCCTGGCTTCCCCTCCTCCCTGGCAGAGCATGAGGCTCACAAAGTCCTTGGCCAAACCAAAACATCACTATCAGCTCTGTTCCCAGGCCGAAAGTCAAAATACTGCACTGCACCAGCTACCAAGGAGAAGAAACATGACTGCTACTGCTGAACCCAGGACATAGGGGCATTCAGGCAGCATCCTTGTGTTGAACTTTCTACAGTTACAACTTATTTAATTGAGTTTGTAGTTAGGGAGTTAAAGACAAGATCATTGTTTCAGTTGTCTCCCTTAAATCGGTAAAGATAATCTGTATGTTATATTTACAACTTCTGTGGTAAACTGTTTTCTTCTTTATAGAGACTGACATACTGTTTTCTACAAAATCGTATTTTATGTGTTTAGGGAGAAACTCATTCGCCTTCAGCATGAGAACAAGATGTTAAAGTTGAACCAAGAAGGTTCTGACAATGAAAAGATAGCCTTGTTGCAGAGCCTTCTTGATGATGCAAACTTGCGGAAGAATGAATTGGAGACAGAAAACAGGTAGGAAGTTTTATCTTCTGTTTCTTGACTTTTCTAACAATCGGCAGTTCTAACAACATACTTCTGATTGTACTGTGTCCAATACTGGCCTCCCCACTACAAGAAAGACTTACTGCAGTCAGTCTAGTGAAGTACCACAAGGGTGTAATTACAGGACTACAGCATCTTTCATATAAGGAGAGTCTGAGGGATAGAGACTATGTAATCTGGAAGACAGAAGGCTCAGAGTGGATTTTATCAGTGTTTATAAATATCTGATGGGAGGGTCTAAAGGCTATTGAGCTGGACTCTACTCAGTGATGCCCAGTAACTAGGCAAAAGGCAGTGGGCAGAAATTAAGACATTTAATTTCATCTTAATGTAAGAACATTGTTACAGTAATGTACAGTGCTGTACACTGGAATAGGTTACCCAGAGAGGTTGTCTTCATCTTTGGAGATATTTAAAACACAAAAGGACATATTCCTGGGCAATCTGCTGTAGCTGACCTAGCTAGATTAAGCCAGTAAGCATACAGACATCTATGGGATCAGGCATCCTGCATCTGAGCATGCAGAGTTAGCTGGCTGATACTGTTGTGAGGCTGCTGTCAATCTAAGCTTTGAATCTGCTTTCTGTCTAATCTTCCCCTTTGACTGGGGGAGGTTCCTGAAGCCTGGGACATTAAATATTATACTTAGCTTCAGGAATGGCAAGAAAGAGAGTCCAGATTGCTACAGAGACTTGTTTTCTGGGAATTTCACAAAGTGGGTCCATCTGGAATCTGTTTCCAGCCACATTAGAGACAAGAAAGTAGTTGAGAAAGACAAACCTGAATTTATTCAGGGCAAATTATGCTTAACTAATCCAATTGTCTTGACAGTGAGATGCCTGCCTGTGTAAAGAATGGTAAACAGCAGACGGTAACTTAGTTTTAGCAAAGGTAGCTTTAGTCTCCCATAGCATCCTTATGTTCAGAAGAGTTAGATAGAGACTGAATAAGTGGACAGTAAAGTGAGTGGAATATCGGCTGGATGGCTGGCCTTAAAACTTTATCATCAGTGATACAAAATCCAGCTGGCGACCAGTTCCTCAGGCATGAATACCTGGACCAATGCTGTTCATAACCTTTATTAACAACTTGACTGATGGGAGGGACTGTACCCAGCAAGTTCAAGGGTGGTACCATGTTAGGAGGAGTGACTGATATGCAGAAAGGGAGAGCTCAGAGGAGCTCAGCAGCCTAGAGAAATGAGCTGGTAGGAGCCCTGTCCCTGGCTGGGAGTAGTAGGCTGGGGGGCAGCTCTGCTGTAAAATCCAGGTGTTCCAGTGGGCAGCAAAGGGTTGTTTTGGCTGGGGAACTTGCAGCTGAATGACCTGGGCTGTCCTCACCAGCGTTCAGGCAGTCAGTCTGGGAAAATAATCTTTCACCTCTTTTCAGCACTTACAAAATCACATCTGGATATAGCATATAATTTTAGATTCCCCAGTACAAGAAGTGTGCCAGGGTGCAGTGGAGCGATTCCAAGGTGGGAAGCACTGGAGTATGGGATATGCAGTATAAAACTAAGAACTGGGTTTGTTCAGGCCAAAGAAAAGGTGGCATGGAGGAGATAATACTGTGATCTGCATCTGTCTGATGGAAAGGTGTCAAGACAGAGACGGGCTCTTGTCAGAGTTTGACAGTGGAAGGACAAGAGGCAGCAAACAAATATGGATTATATGCTTGAGCTCTAAAATAGAGGCCCAAAAAGACTGTCAGACCTTCATCCTTAAAGGTGTCCAAATGTGGGCTGGATGTGGTTCCCAGCAATTTGCTATAAGTGCCCCTGCTTTAAGTAGGACATTGGATTTAGACAACCTCTGGAGATCACTTCCAACAAGGTTAATAGGATTCTCTGTGTAAAAGCAGTAAACTAGTAGCTCTCACAGTAAAACTGCTTGTTAGCAATTCTTGTTTCATGTACCTAGAGATGATTTCTTAATATGTACATTTATGTTGTCTTGGAGGAATATCAGATTGTTCTGGATGACTACAGGCTATAATCTTCAGAAATACTGTATGCTCTAACTACTGTTGTGAGTTTTCTGCATCTCCTGTAAAAATGACCTTAAAACACTGGGCACTAAAAGTCTCATGCTTTCTCTTGCAGTTGTTTAGGGTTTTTTTTCTGAAAAACAAAACACTCTCTCTTTCCTAGGTTGGTAAATCAGAGACTTATAGAAGTGCAGTCCCAGGTAGAAGAACTACAAAAGTCCTTGCAGGATCAAGGTTCAAAAGCTGAAGATGTAAGTAGAAATGTACAGCAAATGTACCTGCAACTAGTTACAGAAACTTTTTTTGAGACTTTCACCTTTTTGTAAAAAAATATGTAAAAGAAATATGCAAATAGAGACTTGTGATAGTTTTCCATTTTATTCATGTGGTCTTATTATGAAATTATGCTTCTCTAAATAAGATTTGAGACATAGTAAGACATTTGTCTGGAAAAGAAAGCTGTCCTATGTAGGTGTCAAATATATTTTGTGTCTGTTCTGATAGTAAACTTAGCATTAAAATTATTTAGAGAGTTAATAGATTTTTATTAATAGAGAGGATTTCAGGGAGTTAAGGAAATGTTAATTCTCCATGTCTTAATAAAGTATCTGAAGCTATTTTTGGTTTAGTTTTCTTTAAAATTACGACCTTTCCTGCCAGTGGAAGCTCTGTAATAGTGGATGTCGATATTTCTTGTAATGCAGGAAGCTAGGCAGGCCAAAACTAAAATAAAAGTCAAATAATAGGCCCTCAACATAAAGCAGCATTTTCTGTTTCTATGTATGGAGTTAACATTGTTTTTAATGTAAGAATACACATTTTGGCAGTTAGTGTGGAAAACAACTTTCAGTCTTCCACTAAAAAATGTGTTTGCCATCTCCTCTGTTTGAGAGAAGAAGCTCTAGAACTTTCTTGAAGTCAGTGATGTGCTGAACTATACATGCACAGTGTATGCTTATAATTTCAGTGTATCATATAGCTAATTGGCAACAAGTTGTAATGTGTTGCTTTCTGTTTTTGTGGGTTTGTTTTTTAACTAATTTATATAGACCATTGGAAGTTTTTGCTAGTTGCTTATTTTCATTTGAGTGTGTTTAATTCAGCTTATCCTTTAAATTTTCAGAATAAACTGTATAAAAATAAAACATCTAGTCGAGTTCAAATAAGATTATTTTTCTTAAAATAAGTTTTAGAATGCATTTTAAAATAGGTCCATCCTGTTGTGTGATTGAGATATTCTTTGTTGTTTTAGTTACTGGCCAAACCCGGATTTTTCAGGGTGAACGGGAATATGAAAATAATACTATCACATACTGAAAGTTGTAAAGTATCTCTGTCTAGTTGAATTCAGCTTTATTTACTGCAGTTTTAATTGTGTCCCTTTTTGAGGCTCTGGTTTGGACAGTAATTTAGGACATGTCTGCAGAACACTTACAGGGCTGGTTACAGCCTGTGTAGGCATTATCTGAGATGATTCTGTTAACCTCACAACATTACAGTACAACCTTTTGTGTTTTCCAGGCAGCCTGTGTCAATTCAGGGCTGGCAAGTTCACAATTCAGTTGTTGCATTCCTGGCTTATGTGTAGGTCTGACAATGTCAGTAGTGATTTATAGGCATGATCCCATGGCCTCTTTTGATGAGTTCAGTGTGTAGGATTTCATTTTCTGGTAAAGAAATGAGAGTGTAGACTCAGTGAAATATTGAGGCTGCAAGAACCTCTGAAGGTATTGACACCTCATCCAGTCTCCTACACAAAGCAGAGGAAACCTCAAAGTTAAACCCAGCTGCTCAAGGACATGGGATTTGTGCTAGGACCACCCGAGTTATTTTCGAGATACCCTTATAGAAAGATTAGTTCTTCAGAAGCATGAGAAAAAGGATAGAGAGACATGGATACAGTGGATGCATAATTTTCATCATGTTTCCCCTGTTCTTCACTACTTTTCTGTAATTATGCACCGAAATCTGCATTTTTATATACTGATACTGTAAATAGGCTCAACCCAGAAAACCTGGTTGTATTCAGTCCAGAAATGTATGATGAGGGCTTGGAGCTGGGGGTTGGGTTTTGGTTTGGTTTTTTTTTTTGTTTGGTTTGGTTTTTTGCTTGTTTGTTTTTTGTTGTTGTGGTGGTGGTGGTTGGTTTGGGTTTGGTTTTTTTTTTAGTTTTGTTTATTTTCAAAGTTGAAGTAGTTTTTAGGCTTGACCAAAAAGTAGTAAAAGCACTATAGTAACCCAGCGAAGTAACGTTGCAGTAATACGTGCTGCTTGCCGAGGTTCACATGGGGAAGAAGTTTTGATTTTGTATTGAAGTGCAGTGGAAAATTAACGTTAGAAATGTATCGGTGCCTAATATGTACATTAGACCTGTAATGGGTACTTATGCAGCCTGTTGGGATGCCCAATCAGTCCATTCTGGTTGTTGCCTTGCTACCCAGAGACAGGCCTCCTTACCACAGTCTTCCAAACTACAGAATCAACTCAGATGTGCCCAGTGTGGTCAGAATAGCTGCGGTTATGTGTAGCCTCAGCAGGTACTCAAAGACAGCTTCAATTACATCATTTGCATGCCTTATTATGGCTCTCTTATTTCATCCTTGTTCTCATTGTTCTTTGCCCTAATCCCCTCCTGTATAAGCAACCTTCCTTTAGTTACTTCTGCTGCACTGGACCTAGCTTTGCTGAATCCATACTGCATCTGGTGTTTCTCATACTGTTACACATGTAATCTTGGCCTTACATGCTGCTACTGATCCAGTTACTGAGTCTTCCTGACTTGGCACCTCCTTAAAAAGTCCCCAGAACTGTTACCTGGGAAGTTTAGCCACTTTGCTCATTTGGTGAAACACTAGAACAGGTTGCCCAGAGAGGTGGTAGATCTCCCATCCCTTGAAACATTCAAGGTCAGACTGGACAGGGCTCTGAGCAACCTGATCTAGTAGAAGATGTCTCTGCTCATTGAAGGGGGCTGGACTATATAAGCTTAAAGGGTCCCTTCCAAACCAGATTGTTCTATGATTCTGTGATAACTTTTAGCATCTGTGAAATCTGACCATCCCTCAGTGCTGTTAATAACTTCTGTCATCTTCTCACAGTGTTACCAGTCTCATCAGGTGATTTTCTCAAGTCGTGCTATAGTTTCCCTCACCCTGCTAAATTAGCTGAACCTCACGCAAGAGCCATCTGCCTATGACCTTAGCATGCAGAACAAACCCAAACTTGTTCCTCAGAAAAGGGACAGACCTGTTCCTTTGGCTTGTTTTAGCATAAAAGAAATTTCCAGCAAAAAGACATTTGTATAGTCTTTTTTTTATGTAAGATAGCAATTAAATATCAGAGAGGATACCTGTTTTTTAAGACCACATCATAATAAGCTTTTTTTCTGGTGTTTTGTAAGTGGAACTTATTAACAGTGGAAGGAGAAAGCAGAATAGTGAGTGTATGTTTGCTGATTTTTACAATTTTGTTACAGAAATGTTCTTGTATTATGAACAGATAAAATTTGAATGAAGTTAAATGTAAACTCAGCTCAAAATTGGATAAAGCTTTTTTTTTTTAATTGGGATTTTTTTTTTTTTTTTAAGAGACTGGTCTTCCTATCAGAGAACATGAGAACAACAATTTTAGTAATTATTTGTTAGGTGAAGAGAATTTGGGTATGTGACATTGAAGCTGACAAATACTTAAAAAAAAAAGTAATGTTTGCCCATTTTTAGAGTAATTTATTTGAATTTATCTTATTGTTATAAGTATATATGGGATTTTTGTGTGGCTAAAATCACAAGTTTTACCTTTTATTCTTTTTCTTAATCTTGTGTCTTGAGTAAATAACTCTGGATAGACTCAGTCCTGCTTCTTTTAACTGTGTGTTCTGTTTATTGTTGTTAGTTTCTTGCTTGTGAGAACATATGATCTGTCTAGATGGGAGAGGGGTTACTCCTACAACAATGCTAGTACTATGCAAATAATATATATAAAAATATACCAGAATGGAATCAATGTTGACAAGTAGTTGAGTCTCTTCCAAACCTAAATGCAGTATCAGGATCTCAAAAGAAAAGCTGAGTTCATTTTTTATTTTCTTACCTTGGGAAAATGGGCACTGCTGCCAACTTTTCCCTTTCTTGTCCAAACCAACCGATGGTCCCCTAAATGATCAGACATAAGTGATGGTACCAGTTTAAACGCTTTGCGACCAAGAAAGATGCATACAAGCATTTATTATTACAGAAAAGATGGTGTTTCTGCAGCTGTTCAGAGGACTGGAAAAGAAAAAAAAAAATCAAATAAAGGGTCAAACCCTGCAGACCCTTACCTGCTTCAAATTTCTGACTTTGGAATTAATAGTGTCATGATGGCTGGTTTGGTTGTTTTGGGGCTCTCCCCCTTTGTTAGAGAGCAATAAGGAAATCCAGCTTTGAAATAATGAAAAAGCATGACCCAAGAATGTGATTGAAGACGACATTTGGAAGTATTTACACTACAACAAAGCTAAAAGCTTTCTTTTGGTACACATGGTAGTTATCTCTGTTGGCCAGGTGTCTAAACCTAATTGAAAGAACATGGGAGAAAAACAGTGAAATAATTTTGCTGATGATTTTATCTTACATTTTGATGTCATTCTGGACCATCTGTCACATGCTAGACCTCCAGTGTGATTAGTACTGGATAAACACAAACCAAAAAGGCAGGTTCTTATTTAAACATTTTACATTTGTCTTGCATTCAATCACTGTGGCGATAACACAGTTCAGAATCACTCCATAAAACATACGCATCTCTTAATTTTCGTTGTAGCCCAATAGAATGCATATTTTTCTCCTGTTTTGTTACTTGTTTGATTTTTGTTTTAAAATTACTTTCCAAAATAGCAGTTGCTCTCCTTTGAAATTCTGATTTAAACACAATGATTTACAAATGTGCTTCTTTCCTGGTTTTGTATTTTTGTTTTTAGTGGTATGTTTTAGAAAATGTTACAGGATGAAACTGCTGATGAGAACAGAGGAGAAAAATCAGCATGTGTGAAAAAATGCATAGCTATAACTTTTTGTTCATGACTTTCTAAATAGTTTCTTCTGTTTGCTGCTGTTTTGCTTTATACTAATGTCATCTCTGTTTCTTGGCATGGGCTTCTGCTCAAGGCTATTGTGAGTATGGCTTTCTATTTACTTAACACTACTTGCAGTTTATAGACTTTTACTGGGTTTATTTTTCTGAAAGATACTCACTGTCTGTGAAGTGAGTTTAAAAATTTAAATAAAACTTACTTTGAGGGTTTTATTCGAAGAGCTTATATAAATGTGATTTAACCAGAAAGTGGAACACTGTAAGTTGTATAATAATGTTTACATGTCTGTAATCAATAAGGATGAGAAACAGAAAAAGGGCAAAATGTCTGCTATACTCCAGTCAGAAACATTCTACTCCCTCTAGTTTCTATGGGGGTGGGAATTTACTTCAACCAATTTGGTACATGTCTTCATATGAATTGCATTGCAATATCAGTAGGATGACTATTCTTGCAAATTTTGCTGCACTTCCCAATTTCAGGTTAATTTATTAAGTCTAATCACAAAAGTACAGAAGAAATTAAAACAACTGCCATAGAGTTTTGTCATTTGTGTATCTTGTTTGTATCAATCTAGTTCCTTGGGAACACTTCCTGGGAAAATATTTGCAAAGTTGTAAGGCTCTCTAATTTCAGGGAAGTCACACAGCTGTGGAAAGAGGGATTGCTATCGCAGAGGATGGCTTTACAGTTACAATCTAAACCTAAGTCAAGTACACAGTTATATTTTGGTTAGAGTGTTTTAGAATAATTTTGGAATTGTGTAAAAGCTCTATAATATATTAAAACATTTATTTTTCTGTTCTAGTCAATTCTTCTGAAGAAGAAACTTGAAGAACATCTGTAAGTATTTTATTTGCCTGTTTTGTTTGCCATTTGAAATCATGTGTTTTCCATATGGCAAGGAAGGCAGACAGTCATTAATCAGGCATCTGGAAAATACACAAGTAAGAGAAAATAGATAACACAGGAATGTTTGGGAATCTGCTGTTCAGATACTCTTTTCATCTCCTAGAAATCCTTTGCGAAAGCAGTAAGAGCAATGAAATAAACATAATTTTATAGTGGTTAGAAAACTTTAATTTTGCTTAAGATCTGTAAGTCTTTACTGAAGGGGGTAAGTAAACTGAAGAAAGCATGTTAATGTAAACGAAATTATTTTGTTTACTTTATGGTATACATTATGGCATAAAATGTAACATTACAGGAAGTGTTATTATTTTGTTCTGCTATTTCTGCACCTCTTTTACTTCCCTAAAATGCAGAAAGATGTTTACTTTTTAAAAAAAGAAAAAAAGTAGTTTCTGTTGCCTTTGGGTTTAGTATTCTTTCTCAATGTAATCTCAATTACAAGTATTCATTCTAGGCATGCATTGTGCAATTAATTGTAAATGTTAATTGTACAATGTAAATTCTAAAGTTTATAGTTACTGAGAATTAAGATGTTTGTTGTTACAGTTCTTTGTACAACATAATGTTTTTCAGCTTATTTATCAAGTATGTCCTCACGCCCCAGAGCAAAAATCAGTTGTGCCCTCAGAAATATATCACTATCTGAGGATTTTTTTGTACCACTTACCATTCATTCAAGCAGAGTACTAATACTGGGAAAACAGTATGTGCTTTTATGTTTTGTTATAGTGAGAAGCTCCATGAAGCTAACAATGAGCTACAGAAGAAACGAGCTATTATTGAAGACTTGGAACCAAGATGCAATAATAGTTGTGAGTTACCTGTGCAATCCATTTCTTTTCTTTAAAAAATGTTTCATATATAAGGTCTTTAATTAACATACCGAAAGGAGGTGCAGATAACCAGAAAGAACATTTTAAATGCCAGTGATATGTATGTTGTTCATAACTCTGGAAGCTATGGTGACCAAAAAGATGCTTCTGACACTTGAAATGCAGGGGATAATATTTTAGAGACCACTGTAGTAAGAAATTACAGTGGCTAATAGAAATACTGGGTAAGTGTCATACCTGTCATTGAACATCAGCTGTTCACAACTGCCATGTCTCCTAAGACCCTAATTTAGTAGATCCTTGCTGCCATCACTAGGTTATTCGTACTTCCAAAATATTCAATATTTTTTCAGAATTGCGTTGTAATTTGAGAACATTTTCAGTTACTTGTCAAGTGTAGGACATGTTACATTGCTCAGATGATATCAAGAACCCAGCATCCATGTTCTTTAGCATAGTAATGCTACATTTTTCCTAAGACATATTGAAAAAGGTAGATTTTTTTCTTTTTTCCCCAAGCCTACTTGTTATAGAACAAAGCCTTAAAAGACTGCAACCAGTGTCAGCATTTCTGGTTTGTACCCAAACTATTTTATTTATAAAGAGATTGAAGAAGATAGAAATATCCGTTCAGTATACATTACATACATTCTGTGTCCAAAAAAGAATTTTCAATTGTGTTGAGCTAAAACTGCAGAATATATTATAAAGTTCACATTTTAGGAAGTATTAGAACACTTGGAAGTGAGGTCCAGGGACTTCATGAGTAGCTAATAAACACATAATCTTGTCATATGCAGTAAGCTTCACTGTGAGCATAATAGCAGTCCTATAACTTGCTAGCTACTAAACACCAGAACACACTGAGACTCTGTACTTAGTTTACAGAAATTACAAGTTGCTTTTTGAAAATCTGTGTCTGAACTTTGTCCTAGTAAAATAAAAATAGTTGTACCTTCTTCCATTCTTTCCCTGCTCAGGAAATGTATTTGAATTATTCTTTCAGGTTCTTTTAATTATTCTGGATATAGCCAAAATGCTTGGCCATGGTACAAGAATCGTGGCATATTTTGAAAAATGGACTCTTACAAGTCTGAGAGACCATCTGCTATTGGTCTTCTTACTGATCAGTGAAAATCTTACTTGGTCCTGTTGCCAGCTTAGTGTTTTCCTAGTGCTTAGAAACAAAACTGCAGGAAAACCATGAAAGAACATTTCAAAATGAAGTTGCAAAGCAGATGGGCTGAAGGTTACCAATTATTCAGCGTTGTTTGAGAACCAGCCATCAATGTTACATGAAATTTGATCCAGGATGATGCAATTTGTTATTTTTATTCTTTTCTGAGATCTGAGTAGATGTACAGAAGATGTATAAGCAATAGTGGTTTGACATATTCTTGTATCAACACAGGAAAAAGTTGTGCAATGAAATTGTCCTGCTGGTCTGCACTGCTGCTTATAAAAATGTGGGGAGGGGAAAGTAAATTGAGTATACTTATGTCACAAGTCTGATAAATTGTGTCCAGCATTACAGTTTAGCAGATTTAAGCAGGAGTTATACCTGTTAGGAATAATTCCTTTTACAAAAAAAACTTGTATCCATCTGAGTTACAGTATCAGGATCTTATTGAGTCTGTAATGCATTGGTAAACTCATAAGTTCATTCAGTAATAGGATTGATTTATGATTCAGTTTCTCTTTTTTTAAATATATATATATCTTTTAAAAAGGGCAAAATTTGTGTACAAAACAGCCATCTCGTGAGATTAAGTAGAATACACATTTTGAATGTGATTCTAAGCTATTTAGTAACTAAAACTATGGCTCCTTTTGTTGGCTCTTAACTGAAAGAAATTTTAGTTGTGCCTTCAATGTGTGTTGAGAAACATGAAAATAATATAATTGTGTTATTTTCCAATGTGTGCATCTCTTGGCATTAAGCTCTCAAAATTGAAGAATTACAAGAAGCTTTACGGAAAAAAGATGAGGAAATGAAGCAAATGGAAGAGCGATACAAAAAGTATTTGGAAAAGGCCAAAAGTGTAAGTACAAATATTCCATGTTAATGATCCCTCTCTGATAGACTGCACCATGTGTCCACTCTTACGCAATAAATATAAAGGTGGTATCTATATGCTCATTAGCAAGTAAAAGAGAAGGAAGGACCTGTGAGTTCTTTGTATCTTCTTACCATTACAGTACCTAATACTGATTAATTCTGCAGATATTATCCTCGTTTGTGTTCATGGCTGTCCCCTCTTACTACCTATCCATAAGCCCTTCTGATGTCTCTGTACGAATGTCTACTCACTAGTACAGGCTTTTGAGAGTCACCCTTGTTAAGCAAACTTTCTTATTGGCTAATGACAAGAAGAGGGTGTTAAACCCTTTCTAATGCTGTGATAATCTATTTATTTGCATAAATTCTTCCAGACTTCTGATGGTGAGTAACAAGCGTATAGATCAGCTAAAGCAGTGTCCATACTAGGACTGGTGGTGCAGAAATAAGTAGCTGTGCTGTATTTTAGAATTGGAGAACCACCCCTAAAACAACTCAAGGGGAGGAAGCTCTGTGAGCAAGAGTACTGTTTAAATGGCATTTGTGCTGGGACTTTGGGGACTTCTGACAGTTACCATGAAGAATTCTACCTCTTTGCACACAAATATAACTTGGTAACAGCAAATACAGTCGCAGCTGGACCAGCAAACTCTGGTTTTATCAGTTTGGCAAAGAGGAAAAAGGAAGTCTGAGGTAATTTCCTTCACAGGTGGATGGATCTGTTATGTGTGTTTCTGGGTGGTACAGGCTTCTTGTGGTGCTCAGCCGGGAATGTCTCTCTTACCTGAGGCAGATAGATGGAAGCACTTTTTTTCATTAATACAGCTTTTAGCTACCTAAGATTTCATCAGGTCCTAATTGCTCACATAAACTGCTTATTCCTTTTGAGGGGCTCAGAATTTACAGAGAGAGGTCATTACACATGTGCCAAAGCCTTTTTTACAAGTTTACATTTGATTCTGCTTTCTTAGTTCATCTTTCTACCCTAATTTCTGTTCATGTTCTGATTTAGCCAGCTGTTTTAGAAAATGCTTTAGTAAGGGCTCTTTTATTGATAGTTTTCCAAGTAAAGTGATCCTTTTAACTGAACCACCTGTAAGAGCTGTTCCATTTCTCTGATGATGTTCGGCATTCTCTTTGCATTTACTGATTAATATATGCTTCTGTGAGAATGTTGCTAATACTTCAGTGTGATACCAAGGATATGGTTATACTACCAGCTTTGAAACAGCAATATTGTGGTCTCAATCATAGTCCCATTTCTTCTTTTACTATACATTGATATTTTATTTGAGTTTCTAAGCTGCTTTCTACTGAAGGCTTAGGAATCTAGGCATTTTGCTGAATTTATTGCTGGTTTAACCCTGTGTTTGCTAGCACTCATGCTGCCTATGATGGATGCCTCATACAAACATAATGAGGTGTCCTTGCATCATATTAGTAACATAATGATCACAGATGTGCCATTTCTAGAATGCTATCTAGAAATGACAGCACCTGGTACTCCAGGTGGGAGATCATGGCATCTTTCCATAAGGACCGAAGTGTACCTTCCTCAAGTGGAAGGAATTCACAGGTAGGTAAACCTTAGCTATAAAGAGATAAACCTTTGAGAACTTGTTTCTACCACGGTGGCCCCAGGATGGTGCAGGTAGGGATACTGGGATACTGAACCTCTTAGGAGTCACTTTTGCCTATCAGTAGTTTTGTTTCACAGTCCTGTAAAAGAGAGCCCAGTTCAGATTATCTTAATGTATCTTGGCTGATGTTCAGAGGCCAAGCCTGTCGTGCTGGCTGTCAAGATTATTTTTCAGGAGTCAGCCTCTACAGAACTACACATCCCTCTGTTTAACATTTTTGGAGCATCATTTCTTGAAACACTAATGTGTTTTAAGTCACTTTTCTGAATGTGACTTAAAAGGTTGTGATTCCTTGATGTCTTTCAACTAGATTACTTTTGCATCTTAAAGCCAAACTGCTTTTCTTTTACAGGTCATCCGTACCTTAGATCCTAAGCAGAACCAGGGTGCAGCTCCTGAGATTCAGGCTCTGAAAAATCAATTGCAGGAGCGGGACAGAATGTTTCATTCACTGGAGGTAGTAATCCTCATGTTTCCTGTTAGTTCCTTACTTCCTCATTGTTTCTTAGATATAGACTAATACTTTTATTATACTTTGGTTTTAAATGTATCTCGTTCTAATGTTTGTTTTATAGAAAGAATATGAAAAGACAAAAAGTCAAAGAGAAATGGAGGAGAAATTTCTTGTTAGTGCCTGGTACAATATGGTAAGAATTTTATCCTTTTTTTTTTTTTTTTAAGGGAGCAAGGGGCACAAATTATTATTATTAGTTGTTTCTGTGTTGTTTACAACAGCATTCATTTATAGGTTCTTTGCTTGAAAAGTATTTTCCAACACAGAGGCACAGAAACAAATGCTTTTTAATAATTTTATGCTATCACTATATAGAAGTATGTTCCTCTGATAACCTTGGGATGAATGAAAAAGAACGTGGTTGTTATTTTCAAATTTTAAAACCAGAAATGGCACTTCCTACAGGGAAGGATACCTCAGATTGCTATTTTGTAATTCCAGCTGTTCACCTGTACTGACTTTAACAGTGCTCAAATTCTCTTTCTTCTTTGATTCTCCACTCTCCAATCTTCCAGTTCTTTCTAATGACGAGGCACTGCAGTAAGCGCTCTGAGAAACACCCTTTAACTTGGCTGCAAGTTTAGAACCATGCAAAGGAAGAGCACAGGGCAAGACCCTAACTTAAATTATTCAGATAGTAAGGAAGTGATCTGTGCAGCCATACAGCTTTTGCTGGGCCTGTATGCTGGCCGATTTTTCACGTTCATCCAGTGTGATCAAGACTTCTCTTTGGCAGAGTGTGTCTGCATTGAAACTGCTCTTTGGATAAAAGGCATCTTGTGTAATGTTGATGTTTCATTCTGCTTGAACATTCCTCCTCTGTCTTCCATTGGAAGAGTTTCCTTTTTGCTATTCTATGTTCTTATGGCCATGAATAGTAAGCCAAAAATGGTACTTGAGCAGAGTGTTTGAATCCTTTAAATGTCAAAGGCATTTTCAAGTGAATAATGTCCTTGACCAATTTCATAACATTCATCCCACTGGCAAGCAGAAGACAAGGCTAAACTAAGAGCTGTGGTTCCATAGCCTGTCATGAACTCTCAAGGTATGACAAGCACTGGTAATTTTGTTTATGTCTTTCTTCCTCTAACTGGCCTCTGCCTATGCAGCCTGTTACAGCTCCCCTGAATTTTTTCTTGCATTTACTCCTGCTGAAAACATACTTTCTCTGAAGATGTGCTCCTGCCATATGAGCTGGTATTTTCACACAGGATAACAATACTTTAAGTATTTTCAGAAGAAAAGTACTCTTCTGTGTTGAAGATGGGCAGGGTGGGGAAGGGAAGTACTTGAGAAAAGACTCATCTATTTACTGTGTATTTATGTGGAGATGTCTGTGTTCAGAGCTGGGGCAGAGGGGAACCTGCTTCTCAACATTTACTCCAAACTGCAGTGGATGAGAGAAGAAAAAGGCACACGAGAAAATTAGGAAGAATATCTTAGTTTGATCCTTGAAAATACGATGCTTTGTGTTTGAAATTCAGCTTTAGTCAGTGTTGGTGAACAAGGACATAATAAAATGTAAATGAGTAAAGTTGTTCAGTGTTATGTGTTGGTGTTTACTGAGAAGTTTCTTTTTGTCCGTAGGGGATGACGCTGCATAAAAAAGCAGCAGAAGACAGACTGGCTAGCACAGGCTCAGGACAGTCCTTCCTGGCTAGACAAAGGCAAGCCACGAGCACAAGGAGATCGTACCCTGGTCATGTCCAGCCAGCAACAGCAAGGTAGAGATGCCTTGCCCTTAGAAAGAAAACTGCCCTGTGATCCAGGCCACTTCTGTTGCAAGTGACAACATTCAAGAAAAATCAACCAGCATCCTTTCTCTTTCTCCCTTGTTACTGCTATTATTTTACACTTCAGGAAAGGGTTTTATTAGGGTTTCTCATTGTTCTGTAATGCCCTTATATATTTTGGAGTCCACTTCTCTCTTTCTCTCTGCATTTTTTTGAATGTGCCAAAGTTTAGAAAACATCTAGAGGAGTGCTGTGTAATAACAGAATCTTACTGGTATGAAGCCTAGTCTCTTATGAAAAGCCTCATACTGGCTGTGTAGCAATATAAACTCCTGTCATAGTTGATGTATTTGTGCCTATAAGGGTTCTTACGCTTTATAAGACTGTCTTCGTTCAAAGGGAATTAGGCTTTTTGTTTCATGTGCTAAACTGTTCCTTCAGAAAAAATGCTGAAAACTCATTACAGAAAGCCAAAATTAGTATATAGTATTATTGTGAAATATGTTTGCTACTAGAAAACTTACCAATGGCAAAAAGAATGTTGGGGGAACGGGAGGGGGTGTGTGTGTGGTTTTTAGTTTTGTTTATTTGTCCTGTTTGGTAGGATTTTGTCATGTTTGGTTTTTTGTTCTGGGATTTTTGGGGATGCTTTTTGAGTTTGTTTTTTTTTTAATCTCTTACATACAAAATTTCCTCTTATTCTTGGCATTTAATAGGGAAGCAGGATGATTATTTTTTTTTTCAGGTTATTATCTAGTGGTGTTACCTCTTTTGGTGACAGAGCTGAATAGTTTCAAATGGTTTGTTCCCTCTTCTTGGTCAAGTGTACGCTTAAATGCATACTAGCAAAAAGATTGAGAAATGTTTAGAATGCTGTGATATGCTACTCTATCATACATTAAAAAGGCCATTTGTTTCAAAATTTTATAATTATGGGTGAACAATACATAACGGATCGAGGCCCTGATTACTATTGTTGATATTAATGTATTCCAGTTGTCATCCTCTACTAAAAGACTTGCTTTCAATATACTGATTCAGGGTATAATTGTATCAGTTGCCTTACTAGTGGTACCAGTGCCTTCAGGTGAGTTTGTTGCTGACTTTGTTGGAAACTGGCTGTTTTGTTGTACTGCCTTTTTAGCGTATAGCTGATTAATTGTATGTCATTTGTTGTAGCACTTCCATGTTGATCAGTGGGGTGGATGGTGAACCATACTATTAATTTAGGTTCTGTTCCTAAGAAGTTCTACTTCTTCCCTGACTAATTCTCTGCTTTCTGTGTCATTTTTATCAAAGAATTGATGCAGAGGACCTGAGTATTGGTGGAAAGTTACATATACATACATCTTGTGGTGATTCAGTTTTAAACATTTCATTTAGATACTGTTTGGAGACCCTGATATATATGCAGTCTGATTTATAGATTCTTTATTTTAATGCTCTCCCAGGTAAAAACATCTTTCATAAATCCCTTTAGAGAGAATGCATGCTTGAATTTACTAATTATCTGAAGGTCTATGCCTGGGCTATGGTTGCCAGATTAGATAAAACAATGGAAGTATCTTCTCTGCAGAAAGGCAACGATGTAAAGTCTAGGACCATTGTCTAGGACAATTTCTGTACTCAGTGAAGTGATAATCACTGTGCTGCCTTTTACTGAGATACAGGGTGCTGAAGGGACAAGAATTCAGGTGTGTTGTCTAACAAAATGACCACAGTTTGTGGGGTGTTTTTCACTGATCTGATTATGCAATACATTCTAGTCATTTGAAGAACCCTTTTTGCTACGTGCCATGTGTGAACAGGAGCAAATAAAATCACTTCTCTGAGGAAATTTGATGTTCTTGTTTGACATTACAGCATTTTATGTCACCCAGAGAAAGAACCTAAGCATACCTAAAGCTTGATTTTTATATTAATCTGGCTAACTCTGTTACCAAACTGCCAAAGCTTATTTGTGAAAGCAAAGTACACTAGGACTTTGGTGGAAAGTTTTCTCTCTTAATTTTGCCTAGTAATTGCGCAGGTCTGAAATTACTTGAACACGATCTGCACACTGGAATAAAAGTACTTGCTTTTATTATTTCAAACTTTGTCATTTTCCCCCAAAGTTTTGATGACGGGCAGATACCAGTGACGGTTTGGAGATGAACAAATGCTGATTAGAAGTCTCATTTTTATCTTTTACTTTCCTGTCTCTCAAGGCTTCTTCACTTCTTGGTGGTTGTTGGATTTTACCTTCTCCTTTGTGGTTCTGGTTGGTCTTTCCTTGTCCCTTAAGATAAGACACTGAAGTGTTCTCCGTAGTTCCCTTCAAGAATGTATAGTATCATTTTATTGCATCAAAGAACAAAACAAGACTGAGTCTGTACTTTACTGTTGCTCATAGTAATTGTTAGACAAGATTGAATGAGCATTTTGTCTTTTGAGAATTCTGAACCTTGTGGAAATTCTGATATTTCCCAGAATGTGTGTTGAATATGAAAATCTAAAAACATACTGCAGTCTTCCAGAAATACCCACTGTAGCTATCCAGTTCCAGGAAATCATTTGTTCTGTCTTCTGATGGTAGACATCAGGAACTTCATTCCTTGTTCTAGAGCATTTAACTTCTTTTATTTACTGGATACATAATTTCTTAATCTTTGGGTGTGGATGAATGGAGTTGGTGAAATCATTAAGCCTCCTATAAAGAACAGTTTCTTTATAGGAAGGGTTAAGCTTTATTATTTTCCTTGGTTGTTATATAGCTTTGGAAGTAGTGTGGTAGTAAGAAAAAGAAGGAGCTCAGAGTGTGACTTCAAGAAATAAGCACATGTATAGATGAGCTACCAATGAATGCTATTTGTCTTATCTTCAGTAATAAAAGAATGCAAGCAAAAAAACCCCAACCCTGTAAGACAGAATTCCCTCAGTACATTACATACTTCTAAGAAGCTTTTAGGAACACTTTCAGGAGCAGACTGTTTACATCAGAATTGTAGTGGTAATTATTGAACCAATGCTATAGCCTGTACGAATACACTACAAAAAAAAAAACAACAAACCCCACACCCTAGAACCTTCAGACTGAGGTTAAAGAGAAAAGGTTCTCCGGGACAGTGATGAAACAGCTGAAGAGTTCATGAGAGTACATTCCTGAGCGCTATGCCAGGGATCTGCCAAGAAGGGTATTTCTGACCAATTTTAATTAGTGCCAATAAAAGGTTACAGTTATGGAGGACAAATATTTTCATCGTTCAGAGCAGAAGCTTAGCTTTGGGTCTTAAAGGATATGTGTGTGGTCCAGTCGGTATACTTCTGTGGAGAGTTAAGTGGTTAGCATATCTGATCAGACATTACAGAAAAGAATAATCAGTTTCCCATTTTCTTGATGGATAGCACTAACCACTTGGATTGTAGCATGTATTTCCCAAGTGCTGTAAAAACTGAGTAGTCTAGTTTAAATGTTGTGTGTTCCACCCACAGAGAAAAGGAAAATAAACAGGTAGAGCACACAGCTTTATATATTATAGAATTAAATACTTAATGGCTACAAGATGCTTTTCATTATCTCTCTGGAAACAAGCAAATGGCAGTCTTAACCTGTTCTGATACCATTTGAGATAGCAGAAATTATTCAGCAAGTTTTCTGTGGCTTTCTGTTCATGATAAGGTGCATCAGCAGTTTTATGTTCATTGCGTATGAAAAAGTTAACAGTGAATATTCCTATTACTGATTTATGTTGATCTTAAATAGTAAGTGATAAGAAAGCTGTCAAGAAGATATAGGAGGATTTGGCAGTTTTAAGGTCCTCAGTATTTTGACATGTGCTCCTCCTTGGTTCCCTGGTATGTGAAACTATCCCCTTAACAGCTTCACAGATGATTTTTTAGTGGGTTCAATTTTCTACAGTTTTCTTTAGGTTTGGTATTCGGAAAATAGTTTAATTTTACCACTTAATTTTCTTTTAGTGATTTGGAGGAAGACTGTCCTGAATGTGGCTAATTTTTCTTTTTCTTATGAAGCAAAATTGTACCTGAATTTTATTAATTTTATAGGGATTTTTATTCTTGTCCAACATTTTGACTTTTTGCAAGGATTGATGAGGGAGGTATTTTTTGCACTCAAAGTCAGCTATGCAATACTGACTTCTTATGGGTTTTTGCACATGTGTTTTAGGTAGAATGTGGACTGTGTATTTTGCAGTAATATTATATTGATAAACTTCAGTATCTCCAAATGAAGTTCAGCAAATTTTGCAGGCATTTTCCTCACCAGGATTGTGCAAATAAATAGCTAAAAGGGGTTACTCTGTCAAGACATACTTTCAAGTGGTATTTTTTCCTGTAAGCCACGTAGTCATACTTCAGGGGTGTCACCTGCCGAGTAGTTTGACAGCTGGATTATGACTGAAATGTCATCTCAGGAAGTCAAGCACTTACAAAGAAAACTTTTCAGAAACCCTTTCTTAGAACAGCTGTTATTAGCTAGTGCTTCGAGTATGATGTATTTAGCATTCTATTAAAATGAAGGGGTGAATCAACAAAATAGTGTAGGTGTAAAGATAGGTAAGCAAGAAATTCAGTGAATGAGGCATTTTAACTTTACAGACTGCACACAGCCCAGACATGTGTCCCCTCCCAAATCTGAGCAGTCCAGTTCCCTTCCGTATTGGCAAGGGCCCTCTGTTTCCACTTTGTGCCTTGCTTCAGGAGAAGGAAATGAAATCTTGTGTTATCTCTTAGGTTGGTGTGAGAACAAGTAACAAATCTCACTTGGCCTCAGAAGATGTCCACAAGCTGAGTCTTGGGGCCTGTGGCAGATGTCAGATTCTAGGTAGGATCCTAGCCATACCTCCAGTTTGTCACTTTCAAGGAATCAAGAAAATGGCTTCAAATGACTGATTGCATTGCCTTGCTCCTGTGATCTTTCTTCCCTCAGGAAGTCCAGTGAAGCAGCAGCTTGTCAGTGACTCTGCAGGTTATAAGGGATGATTTCTTCAGTTTGAAGTTTGGAGGAGACAGATGCAAGCAATTATTTAAGTACAAAAATCTGAAGAGCAGTAGGTCTTTCACCATTTTGCATTTTGGTGTTTATTTAAAAACAATAAAACAGAACCTGAGCTTTTGGAGCTGTTTGGGTTTTTTGTTTTGTTAATTAATTTTTAACTGCAGTTGATTAAGTATTAGAGGCTTACCTATGTGAATAAGGCAAAAGCTGTCATTATCAGCCACAGCAACCTCAGACTTCATACAACCCCGAACATCTTGACTCTGCTGCCAGCTTCACTGCAGTATTTGGAGACATTGAGGACTTACCTAGTTTTGTCCTCTGTTTTTACTCGACTTCACTTTTGTAGGCTCATTGAAGCATTGGGACACAACGTTCATTTTTTAAATGTATCACCTCCCTGAATTAGGTAATGAGTGAATGTTGGTTGAGGAGCTCTAGAAAACTTAACAATTCATGGAGTCCCATTTGGCATTGGAGCAGTGGTGGTATAGCCAAGGCAGCTTCCCAGGCAAATTGTTCTGGTGTCAGATCAGTAGGAGCTCATGATAACTGCTGTGTAATTGAAGTCCTAATCTGTTAGTTCCTGGGGGATGGTTTTGCTGTTAACTGTAGTAAGGCTTATATTCTAACCTTCACTTTTAGGCCTTGCCAAAGTAATGCAGGACTGTCCTGAAGGAGATCTCTGCGTTCTCTGTATTAGTTGGCTTTGGTAGCAGATCAGGAATTTCCTCTGCTGCTGTTTGCTGCGTGTATAACGTAATTTGGAGAAGTGCATATCCTTCAGTCTTCTTTGCACTGTGTCTCGGCTCCAGACTGAAAGCAGGTTCCATTTGTCAGATAAAAATTTCTTGCTGCTCTCTTGTTGCTTCAGATCTCAGAGGTTGATGAGACTGAGCATAAAAAAGACTGCTCGTAGAGGGAAATCCAGGAGAGCTGGGAAGGCTTTTCTGTCTTGTGGTGGTTTTATTTATTGCTCCGTGTTAGAGAAGTCCTGTACTATCAGATGAAGTTGGAGTATCACATCTCAGAAAGGGGAACATGGTTATTTTAATGTTACAAAACTAGTCATTTGTCAGGACTTTGAAGAGCTGCTAACTACCGTAGCACTGCACAAATATGAAATACTGCAAAAGCAAGTATTTCCACAGGTATAGCTTATTCTGCAAATGAAACTTGAATCCCTAATCATTATCCCTAACTTTAAGAGAAGAGAAAATCGACACTAAGGGCGGTTGGTAACATGCTAGGATGCTTATGTTGTTAGCATGATCATGGAAAGTGAGCGGAATTTTAAGAGGAAATACCAAATGGTGTAATATTTGTGGGCTTATAAAATAATTGTTGTGAGACCATCAGATTTTTTTATTTGGATTTGCATATCATATTCATTATGCATTTTTAAATTATAGATTCTATATAGAGATTATAGTTCTCACAAAAGATTAGTAGGCAGGAGAGGAAATCTATTTCCCGGAGGTATCGGTGATTTCAAGAGAGAGTTTAAATCTTGTATTTAGCAGTATCAGTGAAATCTTGGAATAATTATAAGCTTGACATTGTAAGGCCACAGTTCTTAGAATTTATACTCAGCTTTTTATTCTGTAGCTGTAAGAGTTATAAAAATGCAAAGTGGTGCTAATACAGCTTTGGAAGATGCTATCTTGAAAGGATTCTCTAAAACATCTAAAGGAAACACCAGGAGGAAGACATAGAATAGGGGCAGAAAGAAAAACAAACTTCAGCAATAGAAGCCAGTGAGTAATGAATTTAGGAAACATGCATGAATAAAAATCTGGAGTCAGTTACTTCAAAGCAGAATATTGGCAGAAATATTTGTTTGTGTTAGACTTGAAAATGAGTAGACTCTGGTAGCTTTGGTGATTGTGTTACAGAATCCTGCTTACAGACAGCAGATTGTTGACTAGAGAAAGCCTGGACCATTTTAGGGTCAAACGTAGTCTGAACAGGAAAAAAGTAGTTGCTCAGATAGGTCATGTTGGCTGGGTTTGGTTTGGGGTTTTTGCATCAGATCTGACTTGTCTGAGCAATTGTGTTGGTTTTCAGAGCTGGCTTTCACAGGTCAGTGAAAAAGGCTGATATCCTTTCTGAAGCTTTGATTTGTTGAAGTTGTCCCAGTCACTTCTGTGTGTTGAAAAAGCACAAAAGGACAGCAAGAAGTTAAGATCTTAAGGGGTGTATAATCACTTGTTACTGGTTAGACATCTGCCTGCCACATCCATCTACTTGTAATAAAGTAGAGCTAATCGGATGATGCACTGAATATTGAAGGGAAACACTTCACCAGGAAATAATCCCCCGAGATAGTAACAAGCCTTCACTTAGAGCTGGAATATTTTGGACTGGCAAGGCAAGGAAGTAAGAGAATATCACTCCTTTATAGAGACATCATCTGCTGCATACACTGCCTCTTTCTGCAGATGCTGCAGGAGTAATGATAGATTATGCTGAGTGAATTAATCCTCACATCTTGCATTTCTGTTGTCTTCTGAAGTGTTGCTGCCTCAACAGTTAGCTTCAAAATATATTGATTAATTTTGAGGAGTTGTCCAAGAGAACAAAAGTGACAGACGAGCAAGAAAGAGAAAGGGCATCCCTGAAAGAGAATATACCGTACTGAATTTAGAAGACCTCTCAAAAGTACTGTTAATTCAAAGAGAAGCCTACAATGTCATTTCTGTTTTATGTGCAGCAGGACGCGTGAAGTGCTATTAAATAATAAGTCTGAACTCAGTAATAGGTGAGACTAAAGGAGTAGACTCTGTATTCGTTTATGAGCAGTAGATAGATACATGCTTAGGTAGCTTTAACTTTTAATTTTTTATAGACTAACTACAGTAATCTTCATATTATTAATCCTGAACTCTGTAACTTTATGCTCCCAAGCAGTGCCAAGCAAGCTTAACATACAGTGATTACTCAGAATACACCTTTGCAGTTTGCTTTGAATGTGTTACTTTTTAATATTTTTATTCCATTTGATTTATGTCTGCATGTTTCTATGGGGTTCTTTACAGCTATGGTTAGTATTCTGGGTCGGTGAATGAGGTGAAAAAGAGGGATACAGGAGCTTCAGTACTTGTAGCAGAAAGATATTTTGTAGTAAGTCCTTGAGTTTAGTTCTAAATATTCTTCCCTTCCTACTTAACCTTGGTTTTCCTGTCACAGGACCTGTTCTTAGAATCATTTTTGACCAGTGCAATACTAGGGAGAAGTGGGGAGAGAAACAGTTTACATGCTTTGAATTCAGTCTGGTGAAGCTATTTTGCTCTTTGTAATGTCACAGTGAATACAGTGTGAAAATGAGAATGAGCAGACTGTGCTGTGCCTTGATGTGTAGGGCTATCGGTGTTACTTGTGGAAGCTGAAAGCACCGTAGCTGTGTTAGAGCATTCTGTTCCAGTTGCATTGGCCAAGAAAGAGGGTGCATCGAAAAGGATGGAGAAATATGCCAACCTCTCCAGTTCTCTTCCAAACCTATATTCACTTCCACAGCATTGTGGCTTGCTCTGTGGGTTGCTCAGTGGCTCCTACTTAGCTTATTTTAATGAGAATATGTATCATTTTCCTGCAATTCAAACTGGTATTTACATGCATGAACAGAACTTGCCAGTGTAGTGCAGCAGTGATGCTCTTGTAGTGTCACACACAGGGTAAGATTTGATGAAATGCAAACACTTAAAATCTTCAGTGGTGTTCAAAGGCTCAGGCAGAGTCATTACCGCCCTGATTGTCTTTTAGTATCTAACCATACACAGTAGTGGGCAGGCATCTTTGACTATATATTGCTTTGGGCTTTTGACTGTTGTACTTGAAGACAAGCAGGAGTGCCTGAGACTTCTTCATCACCGTGTAAACCTAGTTTCCATTGCTGTGTTAGCTGAGAATGGTGCCCTGAAGGACTTTAATCAGAATTGTTTAAATTTGTTTGAATTGTGTCTAAATGTACATGTTGTTCAAGGCTGTTTTGTTGTTCTTTCAAATCATTAGCAACCAGTTCATTTGAAGAGTTGCTCTGGCAGTGATGAATTTGCCAACTATAAGTAGAGACAGCCTTACTGAACTGCTCTAAAAAATACCTGTTTTCTCTGTTTTTCTTTTTAACAGTAATACCTTATTTGCTTTTTAACTTTCTTCTTTATTCTTTTATTTGCAGTGATGTGGTTGCATGACCTGCAGCATTATTATAACAGGGACTGTTCAGTGCATGACTTGCTTTTCTGTCCAGACTGCATAACCAAAACTTAACCAGTTCTACACTTAAGACTCATGGCCATCTGATTTCAAAGGGAGATCTACTTGCAGAGAAGCTTACCATCCCAGGGAGTTGGCTTTCCCATTTCCTGCTTCCGTTTACTCTTTCTCTTCACAAAAAGTCTCCTATGAGGCTAGAAGAGAGGAAATTCAGAACTCGACAGGAGCGTTCTGCAAACTGACAGAGCACTGTCAGCTCTCCATTTTACTTCTGCCTGTCCACTTTGTTGAATTCTGATTAACAGTATTAACACACAGAATTCCTGCAACAGTTTCCTGTACTGAACTACAAAAATCCAGTCTTAAGATTCCTAAAAATGCCTTTTGGTTACTGTTAAAATTTCAAAGCGCCTGCACCCTTAAAGGATCCACTTTGAGTCTTTACATAATTAAAGTAAAACAAAGGAGGTGTTTTACCAAGAGAAATGACTAATGAATTGCTGCTTGGCCATCCCATCTTCCTTAGAAAACGAGGCAAGGTTCATCTGCAGATCTCCAAGCCAGGCAAACTCCCTGGGCGGTATTTTGTTCATAGACACTGCCTGCAGCCTCACTATGTATATACACAGTAGTTTGTGGCCGTTGTATTTTTCTCTCTACATTTTAGCTGTGTTGTCAGTTTCTTTCAGAAATTTCTTTTTCTTTTCAATCTGTGTACAATTGTTAAAACTATCTGAAGAAAGAATGGAATGGAGAGAAGTACGAAAGCCGCCTACACTTGCAGTATTATGCAGACTGTCCTTGCCAGTTTATAATTTTTTGGGTCGTTTATCTTTCACCTGTACTATTTTTCTTTCTTTCTTTCTTTCTTTCTTTCTTATCGCAGTCTTAGCTATTTCATTTCCAATTGCACTAGCTTGGCTGTTCCTTTGTATTACGAATTTTAGCTAAAAGGTTTGCCATATATAGACAGTGTAACTCAAAATGCTTTGTACTGCCTGTATTAATTTAAAAAGCTGCTTATTTAATATTCTTAAATATCTGCACATTTGTACTACTGTATCTTTGTTTTGTATTGGGCATCCAGTACTGGCAAGATTCAGAAGACGAGGGAGTGCTGTAGTGTTGTATGTTAAGAGGTTTATTGTGTAGGAGTTAGTCTGTAATGAATGGATGAGGGGGCTTTTAAGCCATAGGACTTGCCAGAAAATCTAAAGTCTGAATGATGAATACTGTAAGTGATTTGGTTTAAGTCCAGTTCTAGAGAAACCCCATTCTTGCTCACTTGGATCTTAATCCTGCAAAAACATAAACACATATGTACTCTGCTTGTTCTGCTTATGCAGGCAGTAGCACAGCCACCCCCATGCTGAGAAGCGTGCCTGCAGGTCTCTGCAGTCACTTCTGGTTGCAGAACACAGTGCAAGCCTCATAGCTTCATCCCTGGTCCATCAAGGGAGGCCCTGGGCTGAGCTATGTGTTCAGCCCTCGGGGTCCTGATGCCCTCTGTGCCACCACCGTTGTGCAGAATGACTTGGGGAAGGACAGATCGCGTCCCCCATGGCAAGGGCTGTGCCAGGTGGCCAGGGGGAATGGGCTTCAGGCACACCATACAGGAGAGGGGAGGGAATAAGCATTAAGATCCCAGTGAGAAGTGCGTGGTGTATTCTCTTCTGGATCCCACACCGGACAGGGGAGCCAGTGGCTGCCAGGTGCTGTGGCTGACAGTGGTCCGGAAAGATTTCCGGAGGGGGATATGTCTCCCAGTCCACCAGGACCTGGGACAGTGAAGTCTGATGTGACCTGCAAGCAGGATCTTGGGTTTGGTGGTGACCAGGAGGGTATTCCTGCAGCAGAGAGGCAGCAGCACTTTCATCAGACTGAGTCCAGCAAAGCGCTGAAGGATTTGTCTTTCCAGGTCCTCACCACTGACCCCTTGTTACGTGTTGGGACGAGTGGAAAAACTCCTCTTTGTTGGGTGTTAGGGCATGGATTGTTTCTCATTTCCAAGTACTGCTCGGTCCGGGACCGCACCAGCCCCACACCAGGCTGGGTGCAGATCCCGGGTCGGCGCCATGCGGGGCGGGAGGGGATGGCTGTTTTCATGCACCCGCCTGCACGAGCGTCCCGATAGAGCCGAGCGGTACCTCATTTCTCCAAGCGCTCTGTGCAAATTAGAGACTAAGTATCAGTTGTTCCTGAGCCTGAAGACATTTGTATGTTAGTGTTTAGCTTGACTGAAGTTGTCTGAGTTCATTCATACAACAGAGATGCCGGGTGGAGCCAGCAGCTTTCAGCAAGTGAGCTGGCCACGTGGGTTGGGTGAGCCAAGCATCTCTGTCATGAAGTGATGGTGAGCTCACAACTCAGAGGTGATCTCCAGCATGTCTCTGATATACTAACTTCGTTTGTGCTGCATAGAAAACTCTTACTTTCTTAATAGCAGCTTGTTTGACAGTCCTGAACTAAGTGTTGACCAATTGTCAAAGTAACTGTTTGTGAAGTTGCCAGTGATATATTTTCTGTAAAAGAATTGATTCCGAGAGTTCAAAACATTAATTTCCTATTTCAGTTCATCCACGATTTGTGTAACTACCAGATTGTCATGGTAGCAGCATTAATATACATATGTGTATATAGAAAAAAAATTGTCAGTGATGTTCATTGGAATCAAAAGGTTTAATATTTTTTCCCAATCAAATCCACTAATGCTTCCAAGGTGACAGAGTGTACAGTTGTTAAACAAGTTGTAAATAAACGCTTATATAAAATGTAAATCCTTGGTTTTTCTTTACTTGGTAGTTGGTTACAAATGGAGGCCAGGGCACACACAGTTCAACCATGGCACTGTGGGTTTGAGCCTGCAGTGCTGTTCTGCCCTATGAGGTGCTGGGGGTTGCTGCAGCCAGTCAGTCCATAACAGGGTCCGCTGTGGAGTGAGAATAACACAGGTAATACAAACCTTGCCTTTCAATGCACTTAGGATCACTTGGGATGCACTACACGACAGCTTTGGGGGGTGGGGGAAATGGACTCTCTACCGAGCACATCTACATCTGGGCTGCTTCAGTGTCCTGGTCTGCCTGATTCTGGGATACACCAATGGCATCACAGGCAACGGATGGTGGATGCTGTGCTGGAAAGCATCCCACCAGGGTGCCCATTGCAGCAGGAACTGCCTGGCATGGTTTAACTCTCAAAAGCCAAGGCTAAATGAGTCCCTCTTGCTGAGGGAAGTTTCACTACCTGAGTATCCAAGGCAAGGATGGGATGGGACATTGCTGATACAGAGAGAAAGAGAGCTCTTGAAAGACATTCCAAGTCCAGCTAAAGAGGAGATGTTGCTTATTCTGCACAGGGTGCTCATTTGTGCATTTCCACAAATCAAGCACATCCCATGCCATCTTCTTCATTAGATTTATGCGCAAAAGTTACGAGGTAGTCTATGGCACTTACAATGATTATAATGATGAGATCGCCTTTAATCTACAGTCATTGGATCTTGGAGTCTCTCTTTAAAGGCACAGTAAAGTTTCATTTTACTGCACGTGTTCTGTGAGCGAGGGTCTCTTATTTCAAGGGGGTGGGATTTTCAGTACTGTAATGAAGGCAGTTCCCTTCAGGACACCTTTAAGTTAGTTTCATTTTCCAGCTTCTCGCTATCAAGATACATGTCCTTTGTCTGAGGTTGTTCTCATCCTCTGGGGTCCTTTGTTAATTCAGTCACCAGGAGCTGAAGACAAGGCAGTTTTTCTAAGCCTTGACAGCTATTTACATAGTGTCTTCTGGGGTAAATTTCAACCTTCCTGCTGCAAACCCATCACCACTCTCCACAGGTCAGCCCCTTTACTGTCAGGTATGTGGGCGGGAGGAGGCCATGCTGGACATTGTCAGTTGTGAGAGAGGGCAGCACCCCACAGGAAGTAGATAGATAGATAGATCCTGCAGCCACGCTTCCCCTGTATGGTGCTGGGGCCGAGCAGCCTTGCGGGGGCTGCTCTGTAGAGGGACAAAGAGGCCAAAGCCAGGAGGATTCCCCCCATGGGCTGCGGCATCTCTGTGGCAGCAGTGGGAGCATCAGGGGTGAGGTGCTCACAGGCTGTGGCCTGTGCTCTCCTGAGCCCCAGACAGCGTAAGGTGGAGGCAGGAGTCGCAGGGCCTCAGCTCCTGGTGGTGATGATTCATTCACCCTCGTTGGTTACCACCCCCATTCCCCCACAACATTGCTCTTCTTCGCCTTGGTCATTACTTAAGTGCCGCCTGCCTCTGACTGCACCCACCCTCCTCCCTCTGCCAGCCTCTCCTTCCTCTTCCCCTGCACTTTCTTTTCCTTCCCTGGCTCTCTCTCCCACTGACCAGTGCAGAGAGACCCACACAAACAACCCTCGTTCCTCACCCCCACCCCATCCTTCAGGCTCCCCCACAGCAGCTCCCAAGGCCGTTGTCACCACCCTCCAGCATTTACCCTTCCCCATGACCCACAGGGAGCATGAGGACTGTGCCCCCCCTCACCCCACTACAATTGCTGGTCCAAGAGGGAGGACGCAGCATTACGGGTTGTCTTCTGCTGGTCCCTCTCCTGCAAACCCCACAGCTGCAGGGGCCCTGCTTCCTGTAGCCTCAGTATTTACAGGTGGCACCAGCCACTGCTGTGTTAAAAAGGAGGGAACACAAGCCAGAAGCTGCACAGTTCCTCTTTTACATCTTTTTCCCCACAAGTAACTTTGAGCACTGGGCTGTGCAAATAAATACCCAAAATTAACCCTTGTGCACACAGATCTGTGCAATACAGCAGAGCCCAGCATGTTTGTAACCCCATGGGGCACTCTACAACCACAAGCGGTCAGACAGCACTGTTGCAGGGAAGGCTGTAGGAGGTCGTCTGCAGTGTCACTGCCCTTCAGCGCAGGACAAAACGGCAGCGAGGGCTCCAGCAGTGCCAGGCACATGCACACAGCACCTCTGCCTCCAGAGCTGAAAGCATGAAGTGGCCTCCAAGCAGCCCCGTTGTTTGGCACCGTGGGCTGGTGCAGAGGTGAAGGTGAGGTAGGTCAAGGGAAAGGAAAGGAAGACTGACTGATGCAGTAGGACACAGAGATAGTTTCTGGGCCAAGCTCCACCATCCGCAGCACTCTGCCAGCACAGCTGCAGGCCACAACCCTTCCTGAGGCAATGGAGAGGAAGAGAAAGCCCCCATTCCAGTCGCAACCAACCCTCACCCCCGCAAACATTGCAGGGAAACAGCGAGGGCAGTGATAGCAACTGCAAGGGAAACAGGAGCAGGATCTGAGGTAAAATGCATTGTTATCATCACACCAGTTTGTGTGCGCCTCTGGGTCACTCACTCTAACAGAAGCAAGTGGCAGACCCCTGCCTACCACAGATCACAAACAGCATGGTGCAATTCCAAGTCAGTTTTCCACAGTCAGCTGGGAGGAGCTTGTTCCCTTCAAACAAGTCTGCATATCCCTTCAACTATAAAGTATCAGCACTAAACACGGGCGCTTCTGTCCCCGTCTTCCTAAAGGCCCTCTGCCCGCTCGTCCTTGTTTGCACAAGGCTGACACCAAGGAGAGCTGGCAGCCACCAGTGAGAGCAGGATGCTGTGTCAGCAGCACCACGCAGAACGGCACCCAGCCCAACCACATCCCCACCGGAGCCTCTGCGTGGGCTCCCAGCTGCTGCACTGGGAGATTACAGACACACACTGGTTTCAGTACTGGGTTGATGCAGGTTGCACCACACTCCAGCAACCGTGGAAGTCCCAGGAACAGGGTGCAAGGACCATCAGGGGACTTGGGCATCACCCTTAAGGAGAGATTGTGGAAACTGGATCTGGTAAATCCAGAGAGTAAAAGACCACCAGGAAATCTCATTAGCGCATACAAATGCCCGGAGGATGGTGCCAGACTCTTTTCAGTGGTGCCCAAAGACAGGACAAAGAGCAATGGCCATAACCTAAAACACAAGAAGTTTCACCTCAACATGAGGGAGAACTTCTTTACATTGAGGGTGTCAGAGCACTGCAACAGGCTGCCCAGGGGGGGCATGGACTCTCCCTCTCTGGAGGCACTCAAAAACCTGCCTGGACATGTTCCTGGGTAAGCTGCTCTTGGTGGCCCTGCCTCGCCAGGCAGCTGGACTGGGTGATTTCCAGAGGTCCCTTCCAACCCTAACGATTCTGTGACTGTGAAGCACCAAGGTCCCATTTTCTGGCAGGGGTGTGCTCAGTGTGTGCTGCAATGTAGATTTTGTTTTGTGGAGGGGGTTTTGTTCTTTCACAGGGAAAAGGCAAAACACCTGAGCCTATGTCTACTGCAGCCCTG